GTTAATATCCTTTCTGACATGCCGAAATTCTTGAATTTCAAAACTACCATCATTTAAGTAGGTTTTAGGTAAATTTTAGTTAGGTTTTAATTAATTTTAAAAAAAAAACTGTGCAGTTTTTTTTTCGGGTGTGTGGTTTTCGTCCTAGTTTTTTTTCGGTTTGTTTTCCGTTTTGCGTACACAAGCAAAGCTTGTGTGATAGTATAAACTCTCTTTTTTCCAACCAAAGTCGCAAATATTCTTGCGACAAAATGTGTTCATTTTGAAAGTGTTCACTTTGATCAATAACCAGCTATTAAGTACAGCCGATGCTAAGGATATTAACACAGACTGTTATATTACAAATAGCACTTTAGCTTCAAGATATCATGGATCTGTAGCGTAGAGGTATGGAAGGAGACCTGCAGAAAAATAAGAGGGTTCAAACCTGGGCAGTGTCGGAAGTTTTATATGATTTTTTTTGTATACTAGTTAAAATGCGTCCGCTCTATAAATTGAGGCATGTTGGTTGGTAAGTTTCTTTTTTTTTTCATATTGACTGGTACTTACTGCTAATGCGTCATATTTAGGTCGCGTCACGATGCAATTATATAGACTCATAATTGGCGTGCGTCAGTTAAGAAATTTTGTAGAGAATCAAAGTTTTACTGATTGAGTGTTTCCCAGTAGCGTTATCGGTCATATTTTTGCTTGTGTATGTGAAGTGCAACTTCGCCTCTGTGTTGAGCGCTTTTTTATCTGGTACGTTTTTTTGGCTAATTTTCTGAAGCATGGCTTTTGTTCCAATTTTAATTTTCTTTCAAAATTTTTATTCAATTTGTTTTTCGGCTTAATCAACTTATTTTGCGTAATTTTGAGGGCAAAATATATTGGTATAGGATTTTGTGCATCAGTTTGGATGGGTAGCAAAAATTTTATGATTTTTTTAATGACAAAATTGTTTTCGGCTCAACAGGTTTTGACCCAAAGTTTGTCGCCTTTGTTGGTGCTCGGCGAATGATTTCCAATGGTTTTTAGGACTGCTTTTGCGCTTCATCCGATGCAACCATGAAGTTTTTGTTGCTGTAGTTTTCCCACATTTTTTCAAGTTATTTTTTCAAGTTATTTTTGCAAGTGTTACGTGTCAACTCAACTTAATATTTCAGAATTTCTTTGAGTTCTGTGTTTTCTATTCAATATCATAAAGCGCAATGTGTAGCGCAATTAAAAGTTTTTCTACCTTGTGCAATACTGGTGTTATGTTCCGCCACAGGTTTTAATCAAAATGACTTTCATTTCGACACAAACGTTTGAAATTTTTGGGTGTTTTGTCGATTTGTCATTTTTTTCTAAAATTTGTTAGCTTTCTGAATCGCAAGTGGTATTCACCTTCGCCTCAGTTGCTATTTTGGGTCAAGATTTACAAACTTCTATTTTAGAAGTTTTTTTTTCATCGTCTTTTTCAGATTTATTCGGCTATAAAGGTTTCAGTTTATGTAATGGCATAATCGCCTCACATTTGGTATGCAGGGCAATAAAATATTTCATATAATATATATTCATTCTAAAACATTTTTTATAGTTTTTGGTATCTTTTTTTGGCTCACTGAGTGCTTACCTAAAGTTGTTGGCTTTTTTACCGCTTTGTAAAGTTTGATTCGATAATGTATGCTGGCAAGTTTCTATGTGGACGTGCTTTCCTCCAAACTAATTTCAATCGAAGTAAGTTGTGAAAAAAGAAATTTTCAATCGAAGTAAAATGTGAAATCAAAATTTTCAGAGATATAAATTTTCGATGTTTTAGCTTCCAAACCTAGTAGTTGAAATTTCTTAGCATAAAATCTTTTCTTTATTGGTGACTTGTGTTTGCCGATTGGCGTGGTTCACATGAAAGGCGTCGAAAGAACGTGGTTCAGATGAAAGGACGTAAGACTCCTAATCTACATGACTACTAGTTCTTTTCATATTTGGTGGCATTTCTGCTGCCTAGCCTTGACAATTTATTGGCACCTGTAGCTGCGTTTTTGGTGGCTAGTGTTAGCAACTTCTTAAAGTTTCGTGGTGCAGATTTGTAAATGCAAATCTCGAGGGCAATGGTTCGAATCCGACTCTTAGCAAATTTTTTGATCCAAGGCTTGATTCTATGATTCTTTCAGTTTTTTCACCAAATTAGTAGACTTAAATTTGTACACTGAATTTGTTCTCATTCGCCGCTTAATTTGTTTGAATCTCTTATTTTTGCCTTAGTTCTAATTATCCTTGCGATACGCGAAGGTATTGCAACCGAGTACTCTTTTCCATTATTGACTTTGTTAGCAGAGTCGTGTATTTCGAAGCAAGTGCGAAATGGCAAATATACAAATATGCTGCATCTTACGTGTTTTGCTTACATAGGGCTAAAGCGTGCTTTGTTGGTGATAGTTTTTATTCACATTTTGATCGTATTTTTCAGAATTTGTTTTGTCAAAATTACAAATTTAGTTCATTTTCGTTTTTTGTTTCTAGTACAGTTAATGTTTTCCTCTCGTTCTCTTTGATTTTTCTTTCTCAGTTCAAATGTCTGTGAGGTTGATGTAGTTAAGGTGTTCCGTTTTGAAACCTACCTTTTTGATAGCGAAAATATTGAAATACGACTATTTTTCGCAAGCATTTTCTTATAATTTTTGCGTCTTAGTTTGTTTGGACTTAGGTACGAGAAACTTTTTGTTTTTATTCCTCATAATGTTTGAAATCTTTTGTGGCTGATCGATTCAATTAATTGCTGATCGAATTTTTACAACAAATTTTTCTACATTTTCCTCTGGGATTTTTTATGACCATGTAACTCGGTTTTGTCTGCATAGTTACCGCTCGGTATTTTTTGCTAGTTAATGTATGCTGTTGTGAGCCGCCACCGGTTTTCATCAAACTGATTTTCATTATGAGACGAACATAGGAAAATTTCGTGTGTTGATTTTTTGGCGTTTTTCAGTTTTTTTAACGTTTCGGTGTGGCTTTCTGTATTGCAATTGGTGTGAAGGTCAGCCTTGCCCCTGTCTTGTATGCTATGTTTTTTTCTCTTGTACGTGTTAGGAACAAAGTTATTGTTCTTCAGTCATTTTTTTTTTGCTTGCTTCAGGTTTTTAGATTTTTTTCATAAGCCATTTTAACAATATTTAAAATAGATTCATTGTTGTCATATAAAAGCGTCTTTGTATATTGTTGCTTAGACTCTGAATTGCTTACAGTAGTTGTGGAACCAGTTAACGCGTCTATGGGACATCGAAGTTTAGTTTCTTTGTTGTTTAAATTTTATAAATTTATTTGTATACTTTTTCCGTTTCTGTAGATAGATATTGGTACTTCGTTTGAAGCTAAATTGGTTCATTTTTTTTTTTAAATCATAATCCTGTTGAAGGTTTTTTGCAGAAGTTTCCCCTAGTACCATAGTAATAAAAATGAGTTTATAACTTCGTAAAATTTCAGCCAACTTAGGGCTTGCGTTAACTGTTTTCCTTTATTTTTTTTTTAAACAGCTTGCAAGTTTTGAACTTATTGTTGAAAAAAATATTCGAAAGGGTCCTATTTGACTCATCCTAGTCCTTCAATTTTTTTTGCATCGTTCCACTCATCGCATTCGTATTTTGATAAGTTTCTGCAAGTAGAATTCATATTATTGCCTGTGAGTGTGTAATTTTTCGATCTGTCTCGTAATGATCTCTCATTTTACGTCACTGAACCAAATTAATCTGACTGCGTTAGATTTTGCAGCAGCGTTTAACTTTATTATCAATCGAAATATTTTCCGATCGAAATGTTTTCTAGGAAATGTAAAAATGCTTAGTCGTGTCAAAAAAAACTACATCACAGAAAGCTCGTACTGGGTTCAGGGTGGTATCGTTTTAAAGTCCTTTCAGCCGTGGTTGTTCCGGCCATTGAAAATGGGGAGGAACTTTGTATTCGGGCGTGTTTGTTTTTTTAACGCAAAATCAGGTACCCCAAATAATGATCGGACTGGGTTAAGTGATATATATATTAAAGATTCGAGAAAAGTGATTCGAGAAAAGTGTCGAGAAAAACAGGTTTGAAATTTTTGATTTTTCGTCTTATTTCGAGCGAATAAAGCGAGCGAGCAGTCTTATTATTGCTTAAAAGCTTACAATAGCTTAATTTAAAAAGTAAAGTTGAAGTTTTACTTGGGTAACGTTAGTTTACTTTGAGTATTTAAACGCCTTTTTGGAATCAAAATTTTGAAGCAACTGCAATTTTTTTATTTTTTTTTTTCGTTTTTCTAGAAATTTTTCCTCAAAAATTGTTTTTCAATTTGCTCATTGTAGTGTAGCTGTCGAATATACCTAATCCCCAGTTTTTTTTTTGTTCAGCTCCTTTTATCACACCACGCCGAAAAAAAAACGACAATAATTTGAAAAAACTTAGTTGTATTTTTTAAAAACTGGTCGGAACATTCTGTACTACTTGCACAGTAACCGGCTATCCTTGTTTGGATTTGGATTTTGATTAAAATCTAGTATTTCAATGCTGTGTTTACTAGATAGCATTGGAATTTTTTTGAATTTCTCTTAAAACAAGTAGCTATTCTCAATTTCATGATTCATTATTTTTCAAGCACCAATGACGGAAGAAAATGTTTAAGAAATTATTTTGAACGTTTTTTTTTGTAGAAAGTGAGCTGTTTTGCAGTTGTTTTTGCTAGATGTCACACAAGTGTTCTGTGCAATCGTGTTCTTTATTAAAAAAAAAAGCAGCGAGGTGAATAAACAAAGCTTTACTGAGCTCTGACTCATGGTTTCTAGACGAGAATCACTATAATTGTTCCACAAATGCGCTGTTGCAGGTACATATTTTTGATCGGACACACGATTACTAGCCGAGAATTTTTCTGAGATTTTTAGTTTTGTGCTTTTTTATTATACGGAATGTATTTTCATCAAGTCGGATTTTTGCTGCTATGCAAGGATGGGGTTGTTTGATGAAGTTAATAATTGTAGCTGTCACCCCATATGAATTTTTATTTCAGGTGTTTCTGAATTTCATGAACGTGGGCCGGGTGCCATTGGCTGCACGACACGGGTTTTTGGGCTATTTGTTGCCAATTTATGAAGGTAAGCGTAAGCTGAAACTGAATACATTAGAAAGAGTCATAAAAAGAAAAACTGGTTCAAATTTTCTACAGTTTCCATCAAATATTGTACGGCAAAACGAACTTCAGGTTAAGAAGTCTGCGAAGTCGAATAAACGTTCGTCTAATTTGACAGATTTGAAAAAGTATCCTCACATTTGTTCTGGTTGGACTACTTGCGATGAATTGCTGGTTCATCAATTGGTCGACGAGATTTTGAAAGAATTCCCGAATAGCCGAAACGATTGTGTGCCTTTGGATGTTGAAGACGAAATATTTTGTGTTGACAATCTAGTTGCTAGTGGGACTCAGAAAATTTCGATATCAGATGACCTTTTGAGACCCAGGTTGTTTCTGTTTGATTTTGGATGTCTTGTTTTCTGGAATGTGGATCATAGTGTGGCGAGGATTGTGAGACGGATAGCTGATGAAAGAGGTTTGCAAAAGGGAAGTTATGACCCATCGATCGTGCTACAAGAAAACGACTCAATTCCATTTGTGAAGGATAGCTCGCGAAGTATCCCTCATATACGCAAAGAGCTAATTCGTTTTCCGAATGAGTTGAGTTTGAGAGACATCATTCTGTATCAGTTTGCATATTCAAACAGGTAATGACAAGTTACAGATTACGTGCGGTAACCAAATGTGTTTGATGATGTTGAGTACGAGGTTTTTTATTACTATCGGAAGGTGAAAACTAGAGATTGGGAGTGTTTCAAAATTTGCTTGAGCGATTAAAATCGTCCCAATTGGTTGATTTCTTGGTCACGAACAATGGTTTATTTCTCATTTAGGTCATATTTGTATCATGGTGAATCTTACATTAATAAATACATCCAAAAGAGGGCAAACTGCAGAAGCGTCATTGTTTGGAGCAGTTTTTCTAATGATTAGAATGGTTTATGATTCGTGTCTACTTTTGCATTCTTTGGATAATTTTAGTCTAATTTAGAGCGAGCTTGTTATTGAAGGATAAATCATGAAATTTTGTTAAACTCCAGTAAAAAATTTATTGAAGATTTATAGTGGTATCTTGGGAATAATAAAACTTCAAAAAAATGTTGCAATAAAAAATTGAAAAAACAAGTTGTAATCAGTAATTTTTCGACTACAATCGTTGCCCGATTTCTTTTTTTCTGTGACTGTAGAATAAGCCTGAATTTTATGTTTTTGTCAGATCCTTTTAGGACACGACTCACAAAATCCAACACTAATTTGAAGAAAAAAATCATGAAAAAACCTTTTAGGTGTTTTTATGAGTATGTTTGAAACATTTTGTGCTACTTGCACAGAAACCGACCATCCTTGTTTCAATTTAAATAAGGGTAAGCTATTTTTTTCTAATAGATGCTAAATACATTATTTGTTGTTATTATATCGTGAGGGGAATCGCATCAATTTTAAAATTTCTAGTAAAATAATAAGATAGTACTTAATTAGAAAGTTTTCGGCAGCACTTCAACACGCTCAATTATCTTTTGCAATTGCTCAAGTTGCTACCCTTTTAATGATAATTTTCTATATCGTTGGATTATTGCACAACAAATTTATTAGATCTTGTTCACCCATTATTTTGGAGAAGAAGTTCACATGCTGGGAAATGCAAGCAAACTATAACGGAAGTGTATAAAAGACACTTCATTGAGCTCTTCGATTGTAACATTCTGTCCACTTGGCGACTCAGCTGTTGTTGCATCAATTGTGGAAACAACAAACAACTAAAATTTGATTGAACGGAAAATAGAGAAATCAAACTACTCTGTGTATCTGTCCTTGTTATTTGTTATTTTTACTGTTAAGAGTCTATGAACGTAGTCCAGACTCTTATATAGGTCGTTATGATTTTTTTTTCGTTTTTTAAGGAAAAATCTTGAAGTTTGTTGAGGCTCAAATTTAATTTTCCAGGTTGAGTTTTGATTTCTTTTTTTTAAAGTTCAGTTCATTTCTTTGTTAAAAGGAAGTTAAACTCCACTATCGAACAGCAAAAGTGTAGAGGGCACGAAAAACGTCATCGTCTTCTTTGTTCGAAAGTGGAATTCAATTTTCAGATTTCGCAGCGAAATAAAAAAAATTTTGTTTATGAATCCAGTATTCTCAAATTGGTTACTTTAATAAAAAAAAGTATTAATTTTAAGTTGTTCTAGAAATCAAAGAGCAAGAAATCCATCTATTTTTAATTTGAAAGTTGATTTTTTTTTAAAAAAATTAATATGTTTCTCTGTTAACCTGCGTTCATTGACTTTTTTGCAACTTTCTGTTGGCTATGTTTTAATATTTAATTTTCTTGTTCGGCTTGCTTGCCTAGAATGAACTTATCCACTTATTTTTCCACTATTTCCATTTATTTCGACTTATGTTTGTTGTCATGATTGAGTTGTATGGCAAATGGTGCAAAGCTCCGCTTCGCCTCTGTGTATAACTCGACCATTTCATAGCTATCGTCCTACGATGGTCAATCTCTTTGTATTTGGCTGTAAACAGGCTGTTTGTTTTCCTTCCAAAACAAAACCAAAATCGTTTCCCCTCTTTAATATTTTCCCTCTGCCGTGTCTACGCAAAACTATTAAGATTCTGGACTACTGTTTTTAATGGATTCTTGGACGCGATGAACCTACAGATATCTGGATTCGACAACTGTTTCCTTGACTCAAACCTACAATCATAGTCACGATGCCTCTGAAAGTTTTGATTGCTGGTTTGAGTCGATGTTATAGGTGACGAATCCAGATATCTGTATGTTCAGCGAAGCCATTAAAGGACAAAAAAGTTTTAATGGTTGTGTTAAGAAGTTATAAGATATGTTAAGGATTGCATCAGATTAAAAGACAGATGCTCAGGTTAGGCGTATAGGGTAAGTGGCCATGGCCGAGTGCACGGCTCCCAACACGAGTGTTGTGCGTTCGATTCTAACCTTGTTCCGGTCGTAGGGGTCTCAGCGTCAACTGCCTCTTCAAAGGTGGGAAAAGCTCCGGCTAAATGGCTGTAACCTCTTAGGATGGTTTTGCAAGTTATTGGAAATCAAATTTAGAAGTTAAATATTTAATTACCTATTTTTGAATATCTAAACTAGTTTAAAAACTGTAAAAAGTCCGATGTGATTCACTGTTTGTTGTTTTTTTTGCTTGATTTTTTTTTGGTTTTCCCAGGTTCAACTGCACTAAATTAAATCTTTTTTTCCAAGCCAAGTTACGAAAGACCAATGGTTGTCTTTACATCAAAAGTCGGATCTACCACAGCGAGCAGGCAAATGCTCAGGTTCTGTTGTGACTCATCGTTAGTTCATTCTTTTTAGCATGGCATTATCAGTTAAGCTTGCCTACTGGGAAATTGCAGTGGAGGGCCTAGTGCGAAGTATGTCACCCTACATCAATCAAATGAGGTCAGGTCACGTGATGGTACAGGATGAAGAAATCATGAAAATGTACGGAGAGCTATTTCACTTCGACCACAGAATCAACCTTTCCAGTGACTTCCTGGACATTCCGGAAATCTACTGGAATCAGTCTCTGCTGGAAGAGGCATTTCTATCGATGCGACTGTACTTGGGAGTTAAAGAACGGGTCAGAATAATTGGGGTAAAAATTACCCAATCTTTTAATTTACTAGAAATGCTACGAAGTCATCTGAACGAGACAAGTTCTCACCGTTTAGAACAATGGATCATAATGCTTATTTCGTTAGAGATTTTAATTTGTTTAGTTACTCCCGAGCTAATATTGCAAATACTGCAAGATGTTCGCAAAAAGTTATTTGATAGCTCTACTGCTTATGTTGAAACAACGAAATACAGAAAAGATTCCAGTTTAAATATTATTGATTGATGTTTTCTTAGTTAATGCCAATTAAGCAATACGTGAAACTAATGCAATTTAAGTTAGTCATAGCAAAATAATGGTGTTCTTATATATTTAATTTTTTCCGATTTAAGACTTGAAACTAGTATTATCACGTTATTTTAGCTTTGTTTTGTTGAACTTGGCACAAATTTTGTTGTGGTAGCCTATTTAATTTTTCTAGTTTTTTTATCGCATGGTTAATATCGGGCCTATTTGATTTTTATCAACGCTTACAATAACTATTATCTTTGCTTTTCCTATTAAATTAAAAATTGTTAATTTTTCAGTATAGCTGGGAGCGAATTTGCTAAATGATTAGTTTTATCAGAAGAAATGCATATTTTTATTTTCAACACTTGCTGAAATTTCAGCAATCAAGGAATAAAAAAAACTGAAGGAAGTTGTATTGTATCGGTAGTTATCAAATAAGTATTTCCTTTTTTGCGGCTTTTTCAAGCAAAATGAAATGAAGCTTTTGCCTAGTTGGTGTTATTCCTGTATAGTTTGCCTTATTCATAATTCATATAAAAATTTACCACAGTTTGAATAGATTCTTTCTCGTGAATATTTAAATTTCTGCAAGAAAAACTTGGTCAAGCTGACGGATTTTATGGTAAGTTAAATTTATACAACCAATACCTTTGCTACTAAGAAATAACTATTCGCTTTTTGGCGTCGTAATTCAGCCAAATTTAACTTCTTTTTAATCCTAAACGTAAAAACTTCTAATTTAACTCGGAAAATCGAACTCGAAGGAAGCTAAAATCTTGTTTTAATGGCGAGAAAAACTAATTGGACCAACCAATGATTGATTGGACAATTTTATGCAGCATTAGTACAACAAATCAATATTGTGTTATTTTTAATTTAACAAAAACTAACAGGAAAAATCTTGCGTTCTACTTTTGCTAACAATCATAATATTGACCAATCAGCCCTGAAAGAAACAGTGCGCACGGATGTTTTGATGCGCAGAAATGTATGCTAAAATCTGGACCTGTTTGTCATATAACAGCGCTGAAGTATGGTTGTCCTTTGAATGTAATCGTGTTCTGAGTTTTTCATGTAGTTTGTTTAAAAATTAAATCGCAGTAGTACAAAGGTTAGGCAAGTGAAATTTAATGAATTTTTTAGTGAGAATCAGCCTTTTTCCCCAGCGTTGTATATTGTAAGATGTTAAGAAGAATATTTTCTGGAATCGAAAGGCTTGCATGTTCAATTTACGCAATTATCTTGTTTTTATTTTCATAATTTTGTACTTTTTTGGTCACCTTAATTTTTGTTTGTAGCAGAATTAAAGTTAAACTAATCTGGAAATTGTAGTAAACATCGATTAACATACCTCAAAATTTGGAATGTTTTGAAGCTACCGGCTAAATTTTAACTAACGCTTCATCTATCGACTGAACTGAAAGACAAAATTAGAAGAATATATTTATTTCAGAATATGTTTTTGCGGCATAGTGATAGGCGCATAATTCTAATTAATTGTATTGTTTTTTTTTGGGGGGGGGATGCTTTCACAGCAAGATCTTTTCTCAAAAGTAGTTGGGGTATACTAGCTATTTTACACCTTCAAAGCCAGATTATTCAAAGTTGGATTCGGCTAGCTTTTTTCAATTGAATTCATCTATCACGTGTCAAAATTTTAACTTTTTTTGATAAATGAAGCGAAAAGTTAAAAACTTGAAGAAAAAATAGTTCATTTGCTCGTTGAAATGAAAAAGTTGCAACTTCTATGTCCCGTAATGAAGCAATAAACAAAGAATATTTTTTGTGGAATATAAAAGATCTAGGTCTGAAATTACAATTTTGAATGAATTGAAACGTCATTAGACAATTAGAGCACATAAGAAAGATATGGCCATATGACTTGCCTTTTATTTGATTGCTTTCCTTTGTAAAAAAACTGAAGAGCGGTGAAGTGTCTAGTTTGACAACTCTTGCCGAGACTTAAAGTAAGATTTTTTACTTTTATGTCGTGTTTATCAAATTTTCGGTCATTTTTTTTGTATTAGCGTTAGTAAAAAACTTGCCAAGCATATGACATATTATTCTTGCAAATTGAGATCAAGAACCCTGAGAGGCGCCACAAGAAATTTATGTTAAAAGAAGCTGATATTGCCAGTGTCAACTTCTTTCCTATGATTCCCGAAATCAATAAACAAAGTTTGAAACACAATTTCATGTCTCTCACATTCTTCTTGACACAAATTGTCAGTCATGCAATTTAAACTTAAGAGCGGTAAAATCATATGAAAATTAGTCAGAAAGACAAGTAATTGACAAATTATAAATTTGATTTCTTTCAACTATATAGGTCCATTCTACGTTGCTGAAATAGAAACTACAGATAGGAACTATTTTAGTCTTTTTATCTGTCTTAAAACGCGTACAATCCACTTGGAAACTACAAAAAAATTTCCACTCAAACTGGTTTAACAAAAATTGGCAGGGTCATAGCTCTTTGTAGATCTCCGACTTTTTCTTTCTGATAATGCAATAAACGCTGTAGCAGCACGCAAACAAACTATGTCTCGGTCACGAAATTTCGACGAAGAAAAAACGAAGCTGCAATTTTCTGCTTCGTAAATCTGCCATTCTTCAACTATTACATTGCCTGAACTACATTTATGCATCAATATCCGAAAAGGACATTGCTTCGTGCCTAGTAAGGTTCGACTTTTCAAGATTCTAAGGAGCTACCTTACAAACAGATCTCAGAGAGTTCGCATCAATGGTATTTTGTCGGCTGTTCGCTTAGTGCTGAGTGGTGTTCCCCAAGGCTCACTGTTGGGTCCGATTCTGTTTTTGATTTTCATCAACGACCTCCCTGATAAAATATTTAATTCTGTTGCTTTTATCTTTGCTGACGACTTGAAAACTTTTTTCGACAAATCCCCCGATTTGTTCCATCTGTTTACCGCGGATCTTGATAGACTGAGTACTTGGTCTACTGAAAATCGGTTGCCTCTTAATATTTCAAAATGTTGTGTAATATATTTTAAGAATGGTTACCCCTGCGATATTACCTTCTGCAATACAACTCTCGACTTAGTCTCATCAGTGAACGATCTCGGACTACAAATCAACATCACTTTGTCGTGGACCGAGCACATAAAGAAAAAGTTAACTAAAGCAAATGCAACATTCTTCCTGATACGCCGCAGTGTGAGTCATCTTCTCTCCCCGCAGGTGAAGCTCCACTTGTACAAAACACTTCTCATGCCTATCATTTTATATGCTGGTCTCCAAACAAATCGGACTTGAAGCAACTAGAAACCTTCCAGAAACGAGTTGTCAGATGGATGCTCCCTTACACACCGTACCGTGAAGCAATCAGTTCCCTTGGCATCTTACCCATTGCGTACTTTGCCGTTTTAACTGGCTTTCTCGCTCTTTCAAAAGTTGTCAGTGGACTATATGACTGTGATCTCGCCAGTTGTTTTTCCTGCGCACCCAGTGGCTCACGACGCACAGCAACCCGTTTTTGGTATAGAACGCCATAGAGAGCCAACAGAATAGCTAACGTTATCGACATCAGAACCTTCTCGGCTGACATGAAGTATCGTCTACTCAAACTCATGTGGTCGTTTTTCCACAGTCACTTTGATGAACTCGGTCCATGTACCTGGACATTCTTGTGTTTTTGCTCCAATTGCAGAGATCGACACTCTGACCTCTCGGGACTCAATTGACTTGATTTATCTACGGGACTAACAGTCCCCTCATTTACGTTGTAAATGTAAATCCAATATAATAATAATAATTATAAATGGTGGTTAAGTCCGCCGTCAGCTCTTCCGTTTTGGCGGGGCGAGTGAGCGCCTTGTTTTGATACTTAAACGAGTCTTTTCTTTCTTCTAAATCTAAGATCTGTTTTCGACTTTGGTAATTGATCTGTTTTGGTACTTGATCTGTTTTCGACTTTTGTGATTGATCTGTTTTTGACTTTGGTAGTTGAATGCGCAGTCCTAATCAATAAATAGCACTGACTCATGTAAGTTGCGACATTGATGACAAGTTAGCACTTAACCCGAACCAGTACTTAATTGGATGGCCATTCATCTTTGCTCCCTTAGTTACATTCTACTCAATACCAAGCACCAAAAATAAAGCATTAAATTCTGCAAGCCTACAAAGGATTGATTAGACAGCTCTTGGAAACAACTAGCCGAATCAAGCTGAAGATCCTATAGAGAAAATTGACCTCATGTGGATCATAAAAGACTTCAAGCCTAGAAGCATCTGCCCATCGCTAAGGTTGTTAAAATGCGCATAGATCCTGATGGCATCGCGCGGTCATGCGTCATTCAAACTGTGTTAGAAAAACTCACTAGGCCCGCGGTGAAACTAGCCTTCGTCGAAACCAAAAACGACTTCGAGACAACACTGCCATTTCTATACCGAGCCCTACGCTCCGTTGTTTGTCCAATTTTTTGCCCTCCTCGAGTAGTTCATGACAAAAGATAAAAACAAAAGGGCGGTAAAATTGTATGAAAATTAAACAGTGTGAGCTTCAGAGAGTAGTGTATTTGTACGGATCTTCTTTTTTTCAACCAAGTTCGCAAATAAAAGCGTTTTCTTAGTTGGTGGCACTTAAGCTATAATCACCACATGTAGCATCGGAAATTTTATGGCTTCTGTGCTCGACTTCATTTGTTGATAGTTTTTGTCCAGTGGGATAGCTGAGTGGTTAGTTCGTGAGACTCATAATCTCCAGGTTGCCGATCGAATCCGAGATTTGCGAGAAACTAATTTGAGGCTTTTTTCGACTTTTTAGAGCTGCTTTTTGCCGTGTTCTCGCTAGTAAGTGCGAACAAGTGTAATGCAATCGAGATTTAATTTTTTTTCCGGAAACATCTTCTCTGATTAATCCGTGAGAAATTGAACTTGGTTTATTATTGAGTCTTAACAATTATCATGCACCTTCTAACTTGGTAGAGAGGTAATGCGTTGACTATAAAACCTTAGGTCCAGTGTAGGAGTCACAGCCGGACTTTTTCCGATTTGTATCAAAATTAATTTTCCGGGAAAATTGAGTTATAGGACTTTCATTGTTCTGCTTATGTTTTGTCGGCTTCGTTGCTACATTGCAAATTTTTGATGTGTTGTAAGCCATTTTCTTAGTTGCTAGTGTTGTTGATTTAATCCTAGAATTAAGAAAAAAAGAAAATAGTAAATTTATAAATTCTAGGATTAAATCAACAACACTAGCACCTAAAAAAAGGGCTTACAATACATCAAAAAAAAACTTGAAAAGGCTAGTAAATTTGTTAATTTTTGCTTAGAAGCATCATTCGGCCTTCATGGTTTTGACAGTGTTATTGAGCTAGTGTACTTATTTTGTGTCCTTCGAATGGCAAACGTTGATTTTAAAGAAGTTTAGTACTGTCGTGGTGTAACTCATCAAAATTTCAAAATTTTATGTCTTCATTTTTTCATGACAACAGTTTCTTATGGCAGTCTTTTTTGTTTTCGGCTCAATGGGCGTCTACCGACGTTTTGTTGGATCAGTGGCAGCTCGGTTATTACTAAAAGGTTTTTGTATGCAGTCAGTTGTGCTTCTAGCGTTTTTTTTAAATTTTGCTTTCAGTTTTTTGTAGGTAGTTTACGTCTCATTTTCTATTCGCTAGCTTTTAATTTTTTCACCAATTTTTGTAAATACTATTTTCAAAAATTACATTGAGTCGATTACTCAATTTTCAACTAAATATGTTGCAGTAAAATAGAGGAGATACATGTTCAGAGTTCCTGTAAATACATGTTAAGAGGTCCTTTTAGTGGAATTTCAATGATAATTGTAGTGTTGTTACCTTTTTTGTCAATTATGTAAGTTTTTCTCCAAGTTTGAGCATTATTTTAGAGCAAATGTTATCTGTCAAAATTCTGCTTGGAAAAATTCCCCACTGCGTTTTGAAGTTTTTTTAAAGGGGCTTGCAAACTCTGAAATACGGAGGTATGGTAAACAAATGGTGAATTAATTCCACTATAGACTAAAAGTTATTTGTCCTTGTAGATCTGCTCTTTTAAATATCAAAATGTTTTGCGATTCTGACCTCGCTCTGTGGAACGGTGAATACAGGCTGTTCTATTTCTTCCTTGCGCAAAATGTTAAATGGAAAATTGAAATCATACTTCAGGAACCGAAGGATGTTTCTCCAACAACCGCTAAGGTAAGGGCCAATATAATTTCACAACTACCAGCTAAATCATTTGTGTTGCACTCTTATTTGGAAATCTAAACCCTTAGAAAAAAGTTTTTGGGGTAATTTTCTTATAGGATGGGATCTAGAATTCAAAAAAAAAACAAGTTTCGTTGGCCTAAAATATAGACTTTGCTCGCTTTTCTCTTTCAATTCAAGTTTATGTATAGGTGCCAAATAAAAAAAGTTAGGGTCAGACGCCAAAACAATCATATTTTACAGTTGTAAAAGGTCATGAAATTTTTGACTTCTGAGTAGAGGGAATGGACGCCTTCATCCGTTAATCTGGCTCAGTGTAGTAAAGAAAGTAACCGAATATATACATTCGGGTGGGTTTATCAGACTAATTTTCGTGATCAAAGCAATAGTTTCTGACAGATATCGTTTATACCACAGTGAAGATATGGACTATTGTGGTTTTTTAAAAAAATTGTGTTTTGCAAAGTTATTTAGTTGAAAAAATAGCCAAAATAGCTTGATTACGTCATAAGCGTTTTATGTCTATTTATCCAAACTATTAATGATGATTTGTGTATTTTTATCCGTTTTCACCAAAAACAGCGTGATATTTAAAAGGCAGTTATAACAACCAACAATCTTGTTTGAGTGTCAGTGAGGGACGTGAAGTTGATGATTTAGGTCGTTTAGTTTGTTTTTTTTCTTGGAAATTCAAAAAATTGTTCACAATTAAATACAGTTTTAACACATTATTTTTTTCATTAAATAATTTAAAAGTTAACCTTGCTCTCTGATAACAAAACTACGCTCTCTTATAAGAAAAGTGTTTGTCTTGCAGTTTCAAAAATGGGTTCTGTAGATTTACCAGTGGAATAGAAAAATTTTCTTATACATTTTCCAATTGGGTGAGTTATATTGCACAAGCCAGCAAGCGAGCGTAATTTTGTATTACGAATCAGTTTTTTTCAACCCAACTTCTTAAATTATTGATAGTTTCGGTAGCACTTTTTCTGCATAGCATTAAGAATTTAGTATCATATGTTAGACACGGTTTATTGGTACATATTTCAAAGAGTGATCAGACTCACACATTCAGCGTGGTTTGTATATGAAACCTGTCCTGACCTTGAGCAGTTAAGTAACACTCTAATTAACGCAACACAAACATACTAGGTCACGTTAAGACACAACCGTCTATGCCGTACCACCATTTGTTACTTATTGCAAGCGTAAATTGAGAAGATAGGAGGATGTTGCACTCGTAGTCTCCAGGTCGGTGGTTTCATTTCGTCAGATAGCAAGTTTTATTTTTCAAAGCTTGTTTTTGCTTTTTCTCTCCTGATTTCTTTTTTTTGTGCTTTTTTGGAGCTACTGTTTGCCGTTTTCACATTTGGGTTCTCGAAGTGTAGCTCCGCCTTTGTGTCATAAAGTATCAAGCGTGCAAGGCTTTTGAAATTATCATTTTTGTTAATCATTTTTCAGGATAGTAATCCGGTTGATATACACCTGGTATAGCATATTCCAACCATAACTATTTCTGCAGAAAAATTTTAAGTTGTTTATAGAAATAGTTTTGTGTTCCGACCATTGAAAAAGGGGGAGTAAATCTGTATTCGGGTGTGTGAGTTTTTTCCTGTTCTACGCAAAATCAGGTAACCCAAAAAAAACCATCGGAAAGGATCGAGACTGATATTTGATTAAATTCTTTTCAGTTCTTATTCGAACGACATAAAAAAGTTTTCAATCAGCTGTCCCAGTGTTGAGAAAAACCGGCCTAAAAATCTGAGCTCAAGTTTAGTTTTGAGCGATCGAGTAACGTCCTAAATTTTAGGCTTTGAAAACTTGATTTCACTGAAGAGAAAATCGGTTTCGGAAGATTAATTTGGCGCTTGCCAATAATAGCTTACTTAAAAAAGTTAAGAAAGTAAGTTTTTTGCTCTGTATTGTTTGTATTTCATTTTTGTATTTCAAAACATGTGTTGTCGATTATGTCTAATACGCTAATTTTCTTTGAGTCGTTTGAGCAGTTCTATTGTTTTATCACGCGCTAAAAATGACCTTAACTTGAAAAAAATATATAAAAAAGAGAATTCTTTTGTAGTTTTTTTCTAGGAATGTCAGAACATTCAGTGCTAATTGCACAGCAACCTGCTATCCTTGTTTTTAATTTGCTTTTTTTTGCGTAGAGGAGGGTTTAAACTTTAGGGAGAATCTCAACCTATCCTAAATAATTACCCTTGCGATAAGCAAGGGTATTGCAATCGGGTACTAGATTTTTTTTTCCAATTAACAACTTTTTTATAAGGACTCCTTTCATATCTGCTGGACCGCTTTATCTTCTGATATGCTCAATTTCTTGAAAATTCAAATAAAACTACTATAGTTTAAGAAGTATTTAGGTAAAGCCCGTTTCAGGTTGTAATTACCTTTTCAAAAAATTTCTCATTTTTTTTGGTTTGTATTTTCGTCCTTTTCTCTGTCAATTCATGTTTCCGTTTCTTTTAAACGCCATTTTTTTAAAAAGTGATACGGTTTTTTTATTGGCTTACTTTCTAGAGCAAGTGTTTTTTTTCCATGTTTACACAAGCATAGCTTGAGTTATTGCATGAACTTTATTTTTTTTCCCCAACCCAAGTCGCAAATTTTGTTACGATGTAATTGTTGCGACAAAATGTGTTCATTTTGATCCAGCTATTAAGTATAGCCAATGCTAAGGATATTAACACAGACTAATATTTTACAAATAGCACTTTAGCTTCAAGATATCATGGATCTGTAGCGTAGAGGTATGGAAGGAGTCCTGCAGAAAAATAAGAGGGTTCAAACCTGGGCAGTGTCGGACGTTTTAAATGAATTTTGTTGTATACTAGTTAAAACGCGTCCGCTCTATAAATTGAGGCATGTAAGTTGGTAAGTTTTTTTTCATATTGACTGGTACTTACTGCTAATGCGTCATAATTTGCTTGCGTCACGAAGCAATCATGTAGACTCTTAATTGGCGTGAGTCACTTAAGAAATTTTGTAGACTCAAAGTTTTATTCATTCAGTTTTTCCCAGTAGCGTTATTGGTCATAGTTTTGCTTGTGTATGCGAAGTGCCACTTCGCCTCTGTGTAAACAATTTTTTATTACCTTTGAAAGCTCATTAATTTGTAAATTTACCAAGTCTGATTTTGGGTTTTTTGGTTCGTTTCTTTTTAAAATATTTAAACTTTCATTGCATAATTTTGAGAGCAAATGTTTTTGCATGCTTTTATGTTTTTCAGATTGGACGCGTAAAAATTTTAAAAACTTAATTAATTTTTTTTTGAGAAGAGTTTTGTTTTCGACTCAAACAGGTTTCGACCAGAAATTTGTTGACGCTTGTTAATTGATTTTCAATTCTTTTTTATTCTCTTTATGAGCTTCTTTCTATTCAACCATGAAGTTTTTGTAGCTGCATATTTTTCAACTTTTCAAGTTATTTTTTCAAGTAATTTTTTCAACCTATTTTCAGAAATTTCAAGTAAGTTTTTCAACTTCAGGTTTTAGAATTTTGCTTTAGATCGCAAGTGTTTCGAAGCTCCGCTTCGCCTCTGTGTTCAAAGTTTGCAGAACATAATACACTAGTTGCTTAAAAAGCCTAACTTTCTGGTTAATTATTGGAAATTTGCTGCTCGTGATATACACAATATCGCATCTTAACTTTTTGGAATTGTTTAAATGAGCTTGAAACACGAATTAAAAGGTTTCAATTTGATATAATATGGCTTGCACCAACTGGCTTTGTTTTTGGTACATGATTTTGCCTTAAAAAAGCGCCGATATCTAACATTACGTCGTATTATCAGTGTTTGGAACAATAGTTTTCAGTATAATTTCTCTCAAATTATGTACACAAAAATAAGAAATAGTTACGTTCGGCAGTCAAGACAATTCGCTAGTTAAACATTGTAAAATAGCGTATGATTTTTAATTGAAAACTTTACGTCAGGGTCTGCATTTTGCTGTGAAATATTTTTTGTTTATCTTGCTTGGGATTGAAGTTCAAGCATGCTGATGGAAATAAAAGGTTATTTTGAAATAGCTGGTAATCACAAAACTTCACACTTGGTAAATGGTAATCGATAAAAATTTATACCTTCTCCGAGGGGCGGATCTAGAATTTTCCCAAGGGGATTTTCTAGAGTTTTCCCAGAAGGAAATGGAACTTTTTTTACGTCGACCAAAGTGATTTTCCGAGCACTCCCAAAGCACTAAAAAGACCGTTTTGGACAAATTTTTTGAGTCACAAACGAATTTTTGATAAAAACAGGCCAAAAGGCGTTTGTAGGCTTTTTAGGACAATTTTGACCATAAAATTTCGTTTTTTGGGCTAGCGCTCCCCTCAAAATTAGTATATTTTGGCGACAAAGGCGCTTCTAGAAAATTTTTAGGGTCATCCAGTTAAAAGTTGAGGTCTTAAAATGGTACCAAGGGGGACCCATTGGTTGTCAGGAGGTCGAATTCTTGAGGGAGGGGGGAATAAAATGTGCTTTGCGTCAGTTACCCAGTTTTTAGTTTGGATCCATAGAACAGCCAGTGATCATCTTTTATTTTATTTACAGATACGAATGACATCTTGATGGCTCGAACTAAAAATCGAAAACTTTCGACAACAGCTGTCAAACAAGATGCTTCATCGTCTTCTGCTTCGTCCGTCAGCAAAAGTCCAACGTCACGAAAAAATTCATGGGAGCACCCAAATTTAGATGCGCTACCAAGTATCAAATTACCATGTACATGGACTAAGGCTTCAAAATTTGGGGATCCTGTTCATAGATTTTTGCCTTTCAAACTGCCTTTAGGTTCGAAGAAATTAGGGAAAATGAACAAAAATGATCAATTTGACTGGAAGCTTTTGTCAAAGAATCTTCGAGGTCGTTCAATTGACCTTGGACTGGTTATTGATTTGAGCTGTGAACCTTTGAATGAATATTCAGATCTGGAAAACTGCACTCTGGACATTCTTAAAATTGACGTATCTCTGTGTCCTTTGGCAAGCCGAGTATATGAAAAATTTTCTCACGCTGTGAACACGTTTTTGGAGGACGACAACAATTCTTTGAAATATATCGGAGTTTGCTGTTTGTCAGGCGTTGATATGTGCGGCCTTCTCATTTGCAAGTACCTTATATGCAACGATAGATGGATGCCAAACTATGCTATTTCGATGTTCAGTTCTGCTCGCAAGCACCAACTTAGCAACCCGAGTTATTTGGACCATCTGCGCAGCTTGAAACCTGGTATCCACGTCGTTTCAATTGGGACAAGTCAGGAATCTTCGACGAAAATGAACAATCTTAAAGATGTACGTAAGAGTCGCAATGATTGTGTTGTAACTGAAAATGCGGATAGCAAAAAAGAGTCTCCGGTGTCCAAGAATCAAAATAATTCTGTTATATCGAAAAGTATCGATGATTCACTTGCTTCCAAGAGTCGTAATGATTCTCTGTTGTCTAAGAAGAGTCGCATTGATTCTCTAGTATCTAAGAGTCGCAATGGTTCTCTAGTGTCTAAGAGTATCAATGATTCTCTGTTGTCTAAGAATCGCAATGGGTCTTTCGTGTCTCGAGATTGTGATAACGGCCATGACTCTGATTATACTATTAGCTCTGTATTTGGTCCAGTTAACAGGGTCAAAAAGTCAAGGTCGCCTCCATCGTCCTCTTCGGCCTCGAGTGTAGAAAGGGTAAAATAGTCTGTTAAAACCTAAAATGAGCCCTCGTTATTGTTGTTGTTGTGATGTCCTTTTCTGACCTTTGACTGGTCGGTTTTCTATCCTCTATTTTCGATTATATGTCTTTCACAAACTTTTTATAGAATTATTTTTAAAGACGAAAAAAACTAAAACTCCACGAAAAGCGAAATTAAATTTTCTTCACTGTTTTAAGCTTTCTCCAAATGTTTCGTTGGAAACTAGGATCAATGAAACCATGTTGCAATGTGTGTTAAGAATTAATCAATTCTAGTTTTAGAGATTCATTGGGTGAGCTAACACATGGTTTCATTTAAATGACTAATAGTATAGAAGAAACAACAAATAAGTTCCAACTTACATTCAACCAATATATCATCGCATAGAAAAGATGAAGTTTAAGCTGTTTTTGAGGGAAATGAAAATTACCATATATTACTTTCTTATGATTTGATTTCATCGTAACAAGTACCGCAAATTTATCGCTAGTTTTACGAAACTGAGTAAATCGAGACATCGGTGATTGATTGAACGAACGATGCAGATAAAGGTAAACAAGCTTGTAACAAATAACAGATTAAATTTTACCCTTTGAACTATCGCTGCAGTTTCTTCAAGTATTCGTCCCTTCTTTTGCCTTATATTCGTAGTATGTTGTTACCTGCCTTCATTTTTCTAAAAAGCTCATTGTTCCGACTGAGGAAAAAATAAACAACGCATTTTTCCCGTCTCAATAATGGGTGTTTTGCAAATAAGACGACAGCTGTTCAAGTGTCCATATGTTTTGTGATTCCAAGAATACAATTAGATAAAAAGCATGGATTTTAAACTTTTTAATGATTCCAATACCCTACTCTCAAACTGGAAAAATAAGCTCGTGGTTTTGTCCAAAAATAGTGAAGTATGCGAGACTTCTAACTTAGGGAAGATCTCCCACGACGAGAAACTCTAAATTAAGGAGAAGAGTTTTGAACCTTTCACCCTAAAACAACCAGGTCGTACTCGATACAAACTTAAACCTGACAAACTTAATCCCATGCCAATTTTCTCTATTCTAATGATCGACAGAATAGTCTAATTTTGTTGAACTGAAAAAACTACCGTGCGGCATCTAATAACCGATTAGTCATAAGAGCGATCTCAAAAATTCATCCTCATCATCCCCCAAGTTGTTTAAGGGGAAATATTAACTAGGTTTTTGTTTGGACTTTTGAGCCGATCAGAAGTGATCTTACGTGGAGCTCCACGTAAAATTTATTACCAAGGTGAGAGTTTTTGACTTGGTCTATTGGTGGAGGTGTCTATTGGTATGTTGGTAAAGTTGGCATGGCATGGATAACTTTTTGGTGCAAATTGAACATGTATCCAAGGAACACATAAAATTTTATCGTTTTTTTATAATGCTTGTATAATGCTAAATTTGTTTCAAGTCGGAACAATCTGAGTAACTAGTGATGCGGAAATCCGAATCGCCATCTAAATTTAATCGGTTCTTTTGTCACAGGACGACAAAAGCTCCTCTCGTCCTCGGGAGAAGACTGATGATGGATCAACATCGCGTAGTTCTACCAGCAGATCGCCAGTAGCGCGCAAAGGCAAGGAAACTAAAGTATTACCGTTGCCTGAAGATTTGGACACAATCTCGAGTGAAACTGACGCGAGTGATCCGTTTTCAGATAACGAAAAAGGGAAACTGAACTCAAAAACTCCACGAAAGAAGCGAGAAGTATCGAAACAATCGGACAGCTCCAAGGCGTCAAGCTACAGGAGAATCCAAGTACCAGCTAAGGAATTCAAAGGTCCTCGACAACCGATCGTCAAAAAACCAATTGTTCCAAAAGATCCGAGCACTTCAAGATCCAGATCCAGAAGTTCAAAAAGCAGGTCAGTATCGAAGGACTCAACTCGCTCTATTTCTCCGAAACAGTCCAAACTGCCAAAGTCAAAAGTAAGTGATATCTCCCAGGAATCCAATCTTTCTTTCTCGCCTAAAGTTAAGCGAGTCATTAAAAAGGAGGCAGCACGTTTGAACAGTGTTTCACCGAATATAAAGCGATTTATTTCCAAAAAACAGAATCGGTCAAGAAATTCAAGCCAATCTTCAAAAAGTTCAACTCAATCCAAGTCTTCTGTGAGAAGTCGTAAAGCGACATCTGCTACAAAAAGCCAACGGGGCTCGAGTTTGAGTACAGCTGCAACATCGGAATCTAGATCGCCAATTCGCGCCAAGAATAAGGTCATCACGAGGAGATGTCCCAGGCAGATTAAAGAAAGAGAAAGAGACTCTTCAGAATCTATAAGCCGTAATCGAAAGCCACCTTCTACAATGTTCGTATCAGACAGGTGTGTAATTCCAGAAAAATTTTTGAAGTAGTTTTTAAGCGTTTTTTTTTACTGTGGTCTAGTTAACATAAGCGGCCTAAGAGTATATATTTCTTATCTTATTCGTTAAGAGTTAGATCCGTTTGTTTGTTTTTACACATGCATAGCTTGTGTTCAGTATGAACTTTCTTTTTTTTTTCCAACCCAAAACGCAAATATTGTTGCGATGTAATTGTTGCGACAAAATGTGTTCATTTTGAAAGTGTTTATTTTGATCCAGCTGTTAAGTACAGCCAATGCTAAAGATGGGGCCTAGAAAATTAGACGATAAGCAAATTAGACGGATGCTACAAAAACGAAATTAGACGGAATTTCTTTTTTACATCTGTCATTTTAGACGAAAAAGCTATGAAAAGGAACAGGTCAACAAACTTTTTTCTTAAGATTCAAGTTTCACAAATACAAAAAGAACATAAAATGTCAAAACCTATCATAACAATTAGTTTAAATGAACAAAAATTGTCAAATCCGACTATTACAAGAGAGTTTGAATTGAATAAATTATGCATGATTGATTTGTAAAAAAAAATGTAGTAAAAATTTGAAAAATTTAACTGTTAACTACAAACAGTTGTATTTTTCTCGCGCAATTTGTCTGCAAACAATTTTAATCTCTTTCACTTTCGTCTATTTTCTCACAATTGCAGTTTTGCAAAATCGTCTATATTACTTTCAAGTACCTCCGTCTAATTTGCTTATCGTCTAATTTCTCAACCCCCGCTAAAGATATCAACACAGACTATTATAATACAAATAGCACCTTAGCTTTAAGGTGTCATGGATCTGTAGCGTAGCGGTAGGGAAGGAGACCAGTAACAAAATAAAAGGGTTCGAACCTGGGCGGTGTCAGATGTTTTAAATGAACTTTTTCGTATACTAGTTAAAATGCGTCCGCTCTATAAATTCAGGCATGTTAGTTGGTAATTTTTTTTTTTCAAATTGACTGGTACTGCTAATGCTTCATAATTGGCTTGCGTCACTTAGCAATTATGTAGACTTATAATTGGCGTGCGTCACTAAAGAAATTTTGTACACTCAAAGTTTTATTTATTCAGCTTTTCCCAGTAGCGTTATCGGTCATAATTTTGCTTGTGAATGCGAAGTGCAACTTTGCCTCTGTGTTACCAATGTTTTATTACCTTTGAAAGTTTCTTAGTTTGTAAATTTACCAAGTCTGATATTGTTTTTTTTTGTTTCGTTTCTTTTAAAAAATTTTTAAACAGTTGGTAACGGCTCTGAACTTTTCTTGCATAATTTTGAGGGCAAATATTTTAACATGCTTTTATGTTTTTTTTTTCAGATTGGATTTGAAAGATTTTTCAAACTTATAAAAGTTTTTTTTTGATAAGAGTTTTGTTTTCGACTCAAACAGGTTTCGACCAGAAATTTGTTGACGCTTGTTGATTGATTTTATTCTCCTAATGATTTTCTTTCTTTACAAACATGAAGTTTTTGTAGCTGCATATTTTTTCAGTTTTACAAGTTTGACTTTTCTCTTTAGAGCCTTGATTTTTCCTGTAGCTTAAGTTCGAATTAACTTGCTGAAAGGAACGCAATTACGGTCTCCAATAACCTGCGAAGAAATGCGAATGACTTTAAGTTTTGAATTTCAGAAGTTCAGAATTTCCAGCAAAACATAAAAAGTAACTGTTGATGCAGTTTTTCCAAATTTGGTTACTTTTCTGAAAAATTTCAACATCGAAAGATTCACAAAACCAAAGAGCTTTAAAGTGATTTTTTTCTCAAAAAATTCAAAGTTCAAACTTGTTTTCAATTAGGTCAATCTTTTCGCGGTTTTTTTGACATTTTTTAAACTGTTGTGGCGGTTTTAAAATTTAAGTTTAGGGAGATATTTTTTTTCGTCTGTAATGAGAGATGTTTTTAATGATTTTTGAAGCTGATTATGTAGATATATTGAGCCTATATGAACTAAGATTAGCAATCATTTTGCCTGAATTTGGGAACAGAATCGCTTGTCACTTCAGGCGAAATTGTTCATCTTGTTAAGAGGCGATGAACGTAGTTCAGGCTCTTATATAGGTAGGTCGCGATGATTTTTTCTCAAAAATATTCAATTTGTTCAGGCTCTAATTTACTAATTTACTTTTTGTTGCGGTTTGAGTTGTTAGTTCTTTTTAAGTTCAGTTCTTTTCCTTTGTTAAAAAAAAGGCAAATTCAACTATTGAAGCGAAAGTGTAAAGTTCACAAAAAACGTGATAAAGTTCGAAAATGGATTTTAATAATCAGATTTCTCAGCGAAATAAAAAATTTACCTATTGATCTAGTTTTCTCAAATTGGATTAATTTTATCAAAAAAAGTATCAAACATAAATTATACTTGATTTTTTAAGAGATTTAGTGCCATATATTTTTTTCTTAGAAGTTCGAGTTTTGAGATTTTTTCAAAAAAAACAAGTCAGTTTTTCTGTTTACGTGCGTTCATTAATTATTTTGATCAAATTGATTCATAGTTATCAAATTGATTCATAGGTTTTTTCAGCTTAACCTCTTGTTAAACAAAATCACTTGAATCATGACAACATGTCTTTTTTCGGCCCAACTCGCGTCTGCTCAATTATTGTCGTCTTATTTATTGTTGCGTAATTTTTTTTTCGGTGCTAATTCAGCAATGTTATTGTTTTAAAAGGCATTTTTTGCTCAAAGCAAACTTGGGCAAATCAAATGAAACGTATCAAAATCAAGGTAGTACTGAAATAATGGTATGAAAATAATGAAACGTAAAAAATAAAAAAGTTTTTTCATAGGTCTTTCCCATTTTTCGTAGTTCTTTCCCAGTAAAGCCCGCTAGTAAAATATAGCGCCCCCAGCAGAGAAATCAGGTAAAAATAATTTAAATGAACAGTGAAATAGCCTTGAACGTTTTTTACACGTGCGATAAGCAAGGGTATTTTAATCGGGTACTAGACTTTTTCCCGTAAGCAACTTTGTCCACAGGATCTTCATTTCTAAAGGATCTTCACTTCTACAGGATCTTTCATCTTTAAAATTTAAATACAAGTACTTTCACTTAAGTAGTAATTAGTTCAAGCCCGTTTCAGGTTGTAATTATCTTTTCAAAAGATTTTCTTATTTTTTCTGGTTCGTGGTTTTCGTCCTAGTTTCCGTCGGTTCATTTTCTGTTTTTAATGGATATTTTTTATCTGGTAGGGTTTTTATTGGTTCATTTTTACAGCATGGCTTTTTGTTCCATTTTCAGCAGTTTTTACTATGAAGTGAAGTTAAATTTGTGAAGTTACCATGTCTGATTTTGAGTTTTTTTTTAAATTTTTTTTTCATTTTTTTTAAATGTTTTAACTGTTTATGTTATAGAGACTTTGTCAACTTATTTTGCGTAATTTTGAGGGCAAAATATATCCGTTTGGGTTTCAATTGGATGGGTCGTAAACGCTTAATTTTTATTAAAGTTTTTATGACAACGGTTTTGTTTTCGGCTCAACAGGTTTCGGCCCAAAGTTTCTCGTCTTTGTTGCCGCTCGGTAAATGCTTTCTACCTTTTAAGGGCTGTTAATGAACTTCATCCGATACAAATATGAATTTTTTGTTGCGGTAATTTTTCAACGTTTGTCAAGTTTTTTTTTCAAGTATTTTTTTTCCAACGTCATTTTTTCAGATTTTTTTTACTTCCGTCTTTTTTTCATTCAATATTCTGTACCGCAATGTGTGATTTGCACAGCAAGTGTTGCGATGATCTGCTTCGTCTTTGTGTTGTTCATTTTTGACTTATAGCTCTATGTAGCGCTCGATTCAGTATTAACAAAATAAGAATGCTCTTGACAATCAGAGCACATCAATTGTTTTATAGTCAATTAAAAAAGTTGGGGGGGGGGGGCTATGTTTTTGCCCCCAATCTGGAAGGGTTTTAATGGGAAGACCCTTTTTTCGACCTAACGGCTTTCGTCTCACTTTATGTCTGCTATTTTGCCATGCCATGTTAGTGTATCACAGTTGATGCAAAGCTCGCTTAGCCTCTGTGTAGAAGCTTATATCTTTTGGACTCAAACAGGCTTGAATCACTCTTGCTGTAAATTAATCTAAAGAACACAAATGAAATGACTTAATTATGGTATTTCGAACCTATGTCACGCTCTAGAGGTGTTAATAGAGTGTCTGAAGTCCCCAAAAAACCAGCCTAAGCCATAGATGCTTCCTACTATTCGTACTATTCCTACAGAATATAGAGTATACAGAAATACAGTCAATGAATACTGCAACTCCTTACCCCTCATGAATTGAGCAATCCCTTAACCCACTTTTCGGAAAACTTAGCGATATATAATTCACAACTGACTATCACAGCAAAAATGTTTATGAAATTTGAGTGCGGTTCATGCTATAATGAGAGTAATATGACATGAAATATTTTGAATATAAAATTAGAACGAACAACGAATTTTGAAAAATGCTTATTTCATTTTTAAAAGCCCCGTTCAATTGAGCCCTGCAGCCCGTTACTGTTTTTATTAGAATCGTGCTCGTGAGTTTTTTTTTCTGACCATGTAAAATAATCGAAAAATAAATGATGCTCTATTATAGCCTTTCATGTAATTACGTTGGAGGGCCTTCTTGTTTTGTAGATTTAAAGTCATTGACGAAAACATGAAAATGCAGGAGCGAAAATTACAAACTGTGCTCAAACAAGAAGCAAGAGTCAAATCGAAGTCACCGATAGATGAAGAAACAGCAAAAGTCATGCGCTACACGGATCCAAAGCATTTGAAACGATTAAAATCTCCTGAAAAATCAACAAGACGAAGTTCAAAAAGTAGAGACGAAAAAAACATTAAAACCACGCAGAAACGTGACCGAACTCCACCCAAGCGTGAAAGCTCTTCAAGTGTCGACAGACGTGCAAGTTCGAGTCTGAACTCAAGTAGGAAACGGGATGGCTTGACAAGTCACAAGAGCAGATCTCCAGTGCGGAAAAGGAGGAAAAGTAATTCACACTCGGAAGCAGAAGTTTTGTCTAAGGAGGCGGACAGAATAAAGAGGGAGTTGAAGTCGATATCCTATGAGGAGAGTGATGCTGAGAGACGAAGAAGAAAAGATATTCGAAGAAGTTCAAAAACGAGGACACCCTCCAAGTCTCATGCTCAGAAAAGGTAAAAGTTAATTTTTAATTCGAAAGCAACGATGAATCAATCGCATATTTAGAGCTAAATTACTTTATCAGGTTAATTGAAACCTGAATCTTCTTTTTCTAAAATCGGGTTTATTTAAGTCAAATAGTGATGAAAAGCGAAATTGCTTCCAATTTTGTCAATTAGGATCAACTCGGCATTCACCGAAGTGGTAAATATTTAAGTGGCTGTGAATTGGAATTTCGAAGCAAGCTAAGCAAATTTCATGTAAGTTAATTGGTAGTCGAAATCTCAGTTTGATCTATTGGGTTGTCAGCTTGATCTCAGAATTAATATATTGGAGAAGAAAAATAATGCACCTAGATAAAAAAAATATCAACGGAAAATCTTGAAAAAAAATCATAATTCAAACTGGCAACTATAATCCTAGTTTTGCGCTCTTTTTCTTCCCTCCATCTCATCTGCGAGTTTTTAAAAATGGTTATTTAGTTAGCATTGTTCGATTGCGACAAAAATTGGCGTGCCAACAGTAGGACACGACAAACATACGTGGCCTTCATGTTTAGCTTTATAAAACCCCTCGTTGCACCATAAAATTGATGCTTATGTGAACTGGAGGAAAAGGGACTTATTTTTCCCTCAGATATGTATTCACCATTTATATACTGGACGAAATTGAAAATCGCAACAGCAGAGGCTCGAAAAACCGAAAATTTTCCAAGTTTTATTTCTTTGGGTCTTTGCAAGTTCCATTGACTCGTTCTGATAGATAACAACAGAATGTGATTAATTGCCTAAAAATTGCCTGTGGGCCTTTGTTTTCAAGGCTCTGACTGGAAACTCAGCTCTCAATTTTTTGAAATTATTTGATAACGAGCATAAAAAAGTCATGTTATAATATTTAACAAAATCTAATTCAAATTTTTGCCCATCTACTGAACTGATATAATCGCGTTGGAAAATTCCAAATTTATCTTATAAGAAGTAAACTCTATATGTTCATTTTGTTTTCAATTAGGTCCCGCAGTTTTTAGTTACGGAATGAAAGCTATCATGCTCAAAAGATTTTCAATCTGTGGTTTCCAATTTGTGCTGGAGAAAGAGTAAAGGCAAATAGATAGTTTGAAAGCAAAAGGGAACAAGATTAGCCGGTTGCAGTGCAAGCAGCACAGAAAGTTCCGACCACGAAAAAAAAACACATTTTGTCGCACATGTTTTTGTTCGTCCGGCTATGAGTCGATCTGAACGAAAGCCTAGAAAATAGGTACATTCAATATAAAAGAGAATTACGCATATTTGACTTTTGGCTTGATCGCAAAGTTAATCGATAAACAAAAATAGTCATTAAAATTCATAACAGTCTATTTTCTTTCTTTTTTTTCAATTTTGTCTTTTTCAAAGCTTTTTGTTGTCGAGAATACGCTACAAAGCTAAACTTCCTGGAGTTAAAGTTTAAGTCTTAAGTTAGTATTATAGACCTGCTCGCGCGCTTTAGTCACTCGAATTTAATCAAAAACTCCAAACCGTTTTTTTTTCTGCACTGAGGAATTTTTTGGGTATTTTCTTAAAACAGTTCAAATCACGACCGCAAGGATTTTTATATGATATACCACTCGACCCAATCCGATGATTATTTTTGGTACCTGATTTTGCGTGGAAAACAACAAAGAGAAGAAAAACACTAAAACACATCCGAATACAAAGTCAAAGTTTTTCGACATTTTCAATAGTCGGAACATTATTGCTTTAATTGAACCTAGTTGAAAGCATCAACGAGCTTCTTAGTTTATTCTCAGATGTGTTGGACTTGATGTAGTTTTTATGACAGTTAGCACATCAAACTGAAAACATTGTTTTACTCCTAAAAAATCTCTTTCATTAAAACTGCTCCTCAAAATTTTATTCTTTATTCATCCGGTTTTTTTTATACCACCAAGTTTATGACAGTAATGTCGCAAATTTTGTATGCTGATTTTGTAAAGATCTGATAAACACAATAGGCCAGCTTTACTGTTTAAAAGGATAGGTTTTTTTTAAATTTCAAAATCTCACGCTCATTTTCGTTACGTCCGAAAAGGCTCAATTTTATTAAAAGGGTAGAAAAATTATTAAAACATGACAAGTTGAAAATCCGGTGTTTTTGTGCGTAGTTTTTGGTCAAAAACCTTATCGAAAACGTCCAATTATTTTGCATATTTATTGGTGCGAATGACCCCAACAAAATTTTAACCGTTATCATGTTGCCTAAATTAATCCAATCCAACTTGAGAAAATCTATTCAAAAATCAAGATTTTGTTTGAGAGTCAATGAACGTCGTTCAGACTTTTAAACAGGCCATGACGATTTTGTTCCAGGAATAGTCTTAAATTTAGTTCAGGCTCAAATTTACTTTTTCGAGGTTTGACTTTTGGTTTGTTTTCAAGTTCAGTTCATTCCTTTGTTAAAAGGAAGGCAAACTATCGAACAGCAAAATCAAAGGTCGCGAAAACATGAGCGACTTCTAGTTTAGAAAAAGGAATATAATTTTGAGATTTTCCAGCAGAATAAAATTTTTTCCTTGTAATCAAGTTTCTCAAATCGAGTTGATTTTATCAAAAAAATGCGAATCATAATTTTTCAGTTTTCTTGCGTTCATTGACTCCTTTCCAAGTGTCTGTTGGCTGTTTTTTTCCGTGAAAAAATAAATTTGCAATGTTAATTTTTGTCTGAGATTTTGCATATTTATGCGAAGGGCTCGCTCGTCTCTCAGTTTATTTAAGATAATAATCTTTTGTTTGGCTAAAGTTTTTTTAGTTTTAGCTCGAAAGATTCGCCGAAAAGCAGAAGGCGTTCACCTCGAGATAACAGAGCTAATGATCGCAGACGGTCGAATTCGAGAACAAAAAATGTCTCACGTAATAAATCGGAAACTCCTCACTCCAGCAGATTCAGGAGAAGGCGCAACTCATCACCTGATCGCTCTAGTCGAATAAGTTCGAATACAAGGCATCGTTCGCCTCCTCGTCGATCAATATCTAAAACGCGTCCTGTAACTAGAAAACGATCGCTGTCATCAGATAGACGCACGAGACGAAAGCTTCGATCTCACTCTCGTTCGAGATCAAGAGATAGGCGTACTGATACCCGTAATGCCAAGCCAAAAGCGCCTGTGAAAAACGACCGGGAAGAGGAACAAAGGTCAACTAAAAACTTTATGAGAGAACTTGTTGGTCAGATTCAGAACAATACACTAGATGTCGATCACCGTCCTTCAGCTGCTGCTCAAAAACAAGGCAACACGCTGTCCCTAGATTTAAACGAGTATAAGAGCCGAATCTTGGGCGTGATGGCCGATGATAACCAGGAAACAACGGAGCACGAGACAGAAGAAGCAGGAAGCCACCCAACGACAATCAATGTGACTGGTCATGCTGCGATGCCATACGCGTGTCAAACAACAGTTGCACCGCTGAACCCAATAGTCGTTCACTCATTTCCAAAATATTCCACTTTCGAATCACCTGTGAATCCTTTGATGGCTACAAGCAGTGTAAAACCAGAGCAGGAGATAGTAAGCAATGGCAATACCGAAACCACGGAAGAAGGAGAAACAAAGGAAAAGACCGAAGATGGCGACAACAAAGACGGCGAAGGAGAAAAACATGACGATTCCTCAGTAGACCAGTCACGTTCAGAATCAAGTCCAAAGAATCCAAATTACAAACCGCGTTTCACACCTGAGACGCAGCTCATATCGAAAGCTTTACGACATTTCAGTCCAAAATTACGAGGCGTGAGACCTGTTTTAGATGGATCATTCACTCCTTTAGTCAGGCCACCGCCATTAGCCAGAGCCAGACCACCGATGCAGCCTCCATTGCAGCCTCTGCATATGCAACAACAAATGCCCAATCAGATGCAAATGCCTCCAAGGGGTCCCAATTTTATGGGTAGACCTCACATGATGGGGCCTCCAGTCGGAGATTACAGAATGGCTTTCCGAGGTCCTCAGAATTACGTTCGAGGCGTACCTGTAAACATGCCTATAAGACCCCTGTCACAACAGCCTTTTGCTCCAAGACATTCGATGCAACCACATGGCATGCTGTATCGTCCAGACATGAATGGTTACCATGAAGGAGTGCGACCGCCTAATGGTATGATGCCACCTCGACCAAGGCTTCCGCCTCCAGATAGCAATCTAAACATGACCATGCTCTGATGATTGAAGCAGAGAATCAATTTTCATCTCAAACTAAAAACTATATCAAATTTCAATCCCGTAAACTATTTATGCTGTTTTCTCAATGTTGTTAATATAATTCACGTTGTTTAATAAATTGATATGAATAAGTTAGACTATCAAATATCTGTTTTTTTTTTCAAATTATGAAGTTGCGACGAAACCAGAAGCAAATTATGAAACAAGAACAAGTTTGCATCTGTCGACTTGCAGTTTAAAATTTCACCATCTTGACCATCGCAGAAATAGTTTTTGATTTTCAAGTCATTAATGCCTTTTTTGGATTACCTTATTTTTGTTTTCGCTAACTGTACAGGATTACGATGGGCATCAAACGACTGAGCTTTTGACAAAGATAGGGATAGACTCAATTCAGGAACAAAATCATGTGCTCCTCTGAAAAGTTTTGAAAATCGAAACAAAGTCGCCGCATTTTCAGTTTTTTTTCCTATTTCAGATATCAATGTAACTGAAAAATGGTAAGGACGTTTATTTGAATAAAATCAATTTGGGAAAGGAGATAATAAAAAGTATGAAAATCATGGTATTTTAGACTGATACGATTGAAGAGGACATACCTGATCTTCTTTGCGAAAGCATCAACGAGGCCCCTCAAAAGGTCCCTGTAACAATAGTAACTGGATTTCTAGGTAATCATTCAGACTTAGCAGCATACGGAAAAGTTATCGTTATTGATGCCCTCAAGCCTAAACCTAAAATTAATTATCAGTCCTAATTTTAAGTGTGAATGAACGAAGGGTAGATATTTGTAGGTTTTGTGGTTTTTTTTTCAGGGGAAAAAGTAAATGGTTCACGCTCAAATTTTGTATTTTTGCGGTTTGCTTTCGATTTATTTCAATATTTAATTTCATTCAATCCAATTTCATTCGCCTAAATTTTTTTGAAACTCAAAGAGATTTAACTTGGCGTCCTCTCTGGAACTAGACTTTTTTCTGTAAATATCTTTTCTTACAAATCTCACATGCTTTATTATTGAGCCTTAACGACTTCCAGGTTCGTTCTCACAAGGCCTAGAGATAACGTGGTTGCATTTGCACCTTAAGGTCTGGGTTTCGAGCTCCTCCGGAACCTGTTTTTTTGAGGGTGTATGAACTTGGAATTGTTTTCCGGTAAAAATTGAATTGAGGGACTTTCGTGTGTATGCTCAAGCTTTGTCACATCACAAGCTGTGTCACATCACAATTTTTTTTGTGGCAAGCGAATTTTTTAATAGCATGTGAACGTGGTTCAGACTCTTACATAGGCGATATATATTGTTTTTCTTTTTTTTCAGGAAAATTTTTAACATTTGTTCGGACTCAAATTTATTGTTTGTGGTATGACTTTTGGTTTTTTTTTAAGTTCAGTTCATTTCTTTTGTTAAAAGGAAGGCAAACTCCACTGTCACGCAGCAAAAGCGTAAGCGCCACGAAAAACGTGATCGACTTATACTTTCGAAAGTTGAACTTAATTATCGAATTTCCCAGCGAAATAAAAATTTTACGTTTTGATCCAGTTTTCTCAAATTGGGTTAATTTAATTTTTAAAATCTTTTTAATTAATTGTTGAAGAATTTGAAAGAGTTTTAAGGGCATCTATTTTTTCTTTAAAATTCGAAACTTGACTTTTTTGCGTTCATTGACCCAGTTCACTTGCGTTCATTGACTCCTTTCCAACTGTCTGTTGACTGTTTCTTTTTCCCGAAAAAAAAAATGATTCTGCAATGTTAATTTTTTTCTGAGATTTTTGACATGGTATTCGAAGGGTTCTCTCGGCTCTCTCTATTTGGTTAAGTTGTTAATCTTTTGTTTGATCACAGCTTTTCTTGTTTAAGCTCGAGAGATTCACCGAAAAGCAGAGGAGATACTTGAAACGTGTCGTACAAAATGATTTTTTTTGCGGCTAAACTGGTGTCTGCTCAAAAATTGTGGGCTTTGTTTCCGCTTCGTAAGATATGTTCGGTTCGGTTGCTAATTTAATTTCAATGGTTTGTCTAAAATGAAATTTTATCGAAGATAGTTGAATTTTGTTGACTTGTATTTTTGATCTTTAACACTTAGATCGTAGTAAAAACGTAGTGAAAAATCTCACTTAGGTCTTGGCGATTTTTTTTTGTTTACTTGTGATTTTTTTTGGGAAAAGTCTGTTCTCGCTCAAATTTTTTTGTGAGTCTCGGCTATTGATTTCTTTTTCATAAGTGCTTTTCTTTAAGGAAAAGGAAGGCAAACTCCACTATCTAACAGCAAAAGTTCACAAAAAACATGATTCAACTTTTAGTGTCTTAAGTGGATTTTAATGTTTTTCCCAGCAGAATTAAAAGTTTACTTATTGATACAGTTTTCTCAAATTGGATTACTTTTATTTAAAAGCACCAATCTTAAATAGTTCTTGAAATTAAAGATTTTTTATGAGCATATGTTTTTTCTTTAAAAATCGAAAGTTGAAATTAAGAAAACAAGTGAAATTTTTTTCCTTTTCCTTGTGTTCTTTACTCTTTTCCAACTGACAGTTGGCTATGTTTTTTCAATGCTAACAAATTGCATATTGACAAATAGCAGAGGAAGCCAGTCCGGACGAAGGAACCCATCAAGTGATAACATTTGAAGGTTTGAATAGGATAACTCAGAACAAATGCAAAAAAAGCAGAGCAAGGTAGGAGATTTAAAAATGGGCTCATTACATGAAGTGCCAGTGCGAACATGAGCCAAAGTACTGGTTTGTAACGGTGTTTACTTAAAAAAAATTGACGCATTTCTTAGCTAAAATCGTCCGAAGAGTATTAATAACAAGAACATGTACTGCTCGTTTATAAACTGCTGTTTTGATGGTGAAATGGTTTTTGTTCTAATAACTTGAGTATTAAACGAAATGAAGACACTTATTTAGCCCGTGCCATTTTTCAGGAAAGTTGCTCAGGCTCAAATCTGTTTTATGGAAAATGTGAATTTTTTTCTAACATTGCCAGCGAATCGAGTCTTATCAAACTGATGATTTTCCCTCGAAAATTTCATTCATCAGTCTATATTTTCGAAAATGCTTTAAAAAATAATCAGTTTTTTTTGCTTCTCTTCAAATGCCTAGTTACTTTTGCGATAAGCAAGGGTGTTACAATCGGGTACTTGACTTTTTTCCCGTAAACAACTTTCTCCATAAGATGACTAGAGTTTGTGCATCTCATCTCTACCCAACTTGCACGTCTAACAGCTGTAATTCAGCTGGCTTCAACGACTGAATTGATAATTGTTTTACAGCTGAAAGTTTTTTTAGATGGTATTTTTTTGTCGGCTTTTTTGATTTGAACCCAATTTTTGTCGGTTTAATTCTGTAATTTTGGTGATAGATTTTTCAAGCACTTTTTTCTTCTTTTTTTGAGGGGTAAACATAGTTAATGGTTTTCTGGTTTTTATAGGCGCCAAAGTTTTTTCAAAGAAAAAAAAACTTTTCAATTTTTCTTCTGGATTTTAGTTTTTTTTTGCAAAAAGTTTTCATTTTTTTTGCGGATGCATAGTTTCTGACTTTTTTTATTCTTAAATTGTTTGAAACTGGTTTAAGTTATAATTAGTTAAAAGTGTTTTAGTTTGAGAATGTTTGTTTTAAATCGATTGAAGTTGATGGTTTAACATGTTGTTACGCTTGCGATATGCAAGCGTTATCAAACTGGAATATAGACTTTTTTCCGGTTAAAAACTAGTTTAACAAAATCAGTTGACTCACTTCTGTTCACTTATCTTCTCTTCATACCTTCTCTTAACATGTTCCAGTTTGCATCCCCTTGGCCTAGATGTAAAGCAGTTGCCATTGTCCCCTAAGGTCTGTGGTTCGAGTCGTGGCCGGATTTTGTTTTTTTTTAAGTATCAAGGAAATTGAAAAAAAAAAAATCCGAGAAAATTGATTTGTTGGTTTTTCGTTCAATTGCTCAGGTTTTTTTGGCTAAATTGTAATTGCAATTGCAAGTGTTGTTCATTCTTACTTGAAGGGGGGACTTGTAAAATTTAAAAAAAAATTATAAAGTTTTTTTTTGGTTCTGTTGGTGTCTGCTGAAAGATGGTCGGCTTAGTTGCCAAATCACTGATTTTTTGTGCAGTAAGCAATTTTCATGGCAGTTGCAAGTGCAAGTGCTGTTCATTCTAGTTGCAAGGGGTACTTGAAAGATTCTTAAAGAAATCAAAAAATCTTTTTTTTTCGGTTCAAAGGTTTCAGTTTAAAGATTGTTGGCTTAGTTGCCACATCACTGATTCTTCTTATGCTGTATAAATCTTACATTGCAGTTGCAAGTGCAATTTTTGTCCATTGTTGTTTAAGGTGGGACTTTGAACTTCTTTTCATAAAAGCTTATTTTTGTCGGCTCAACTTGTGTCTGCTCAAAGATTGTCGGCTTCGTTTCTTTTCGTAAATTTTGTTCCATTATTGCTGATCTAAAAATCAGGTGTCTGGCATGTTTGCCTGGAATTAACTTCTATCGAGACATATGAAAGTTAATATGACCTATTTTTTTTCAAAAATCTTCTTTTTTCATGGTAGTGTTGTATCGCAAGTGGTGCGAAGCTCCGCTTCGCCTCTGTGTTTCATTATGTCAAAAAAATTGATAAATTTGCAGATTTTTTTGCAAGATTGGCTCGGTTTTTTTTCTGCAAAGGACGTTGGCGGCAAGTTCTGAACGAGATCAGGAGTATTTTTTTTTCTAAGCTGAAATTTTTGAAAAAAACTTCGTTTTTTTTTAAATTTCCTTTCTTGGCGGTTTTTTTTTAAATTTTTTCTTGTAATCTAGCTCTTTTACCGTTGCAAAGAATATTCGTTATTGATAATGTTCGATGAAATTGGGTTTTCATAGGTTTTAAAGTTTTTTCAGATTTTTTCTGTGGAAATTGTTTGTAATTTTTGCATTCAGGTTTTTGAAATTTTGTTTATCGTTTTTTTTTTGTTTTTTTTTGGCTTTCTTTTATAGCAATTAGCGGATAGGGCTTTTTATCTCCGATTGTTCTTGTTGGATATGCAGATTGTTTGGTTGCAAGATTTAATGAACAGATTTGAGTACATTTGGGATTTTTTATAACTCAATTTTTTTATTGAAATGTTTTCTTATCGTTTTCATCTATTGGTTATCAGAAAGAAATAGAAGTATTGATCCCAAATCATTTTTTTGTTTTGAAGATAATTGATTTCTTTAACATTTACAATAGAATTTTTTCTAAAATTTTCTAGCCTACGTTTTTTTATCAACAAAATTCATTCAAGTTTTTTAAGTTGAGACGCATTTTCTTTTGATTTTAGGAGATTTCTTGTGTAAAACAAGTGGTCCGAAGCTCAGCTTCGCCTCTGTGTTCTTAATATTCATTCTTTTTTTTCTCTATAAGTGAATTGTGCATATTCCACAGAATGTTCCACACAGTCACAAAGGTTAAAAAAAGTTTTTTTTTCAAATTGAAGTCGACTTTTGTTCTTGTTGTGATGAGACAACTGATCAAACGCGTAGACAGTTAGTCATTAGGCATAATAGACTACAATTGTCTTCAAAATAATTACAAACAAGAATTGAAAAAAAAAATTAAATGAAGAAAAAATTGTATAAGTTTTTTTGCCAAGGAAGCGCTAAATGAAGCTTCCAAAACTAATTTTCCTGGTTTAAAACTAAGTTTGCAATACTTAAAAGAAAAATTTTCTTCCATAAGACCTACTCGCTTGCCTTACTCGCCCGATATTAGACTAAAACTCAAAAATTTCAAACGTGTTTTTCTCGAGAAAGGTAAAAGTTTTCGAAATTTTTTAATGTCGTTCAAATCGCATTTGAAAGGGTTGAAATGTGCTTTATCACTCGAACTATTCCGATGAATGTTTTGTGTATTTGAATTTGTTTGAAAAAAAAATAAACCTGCTTGCTCACTTTTTCCCCTCGAAAAAATCATGAAATCAAAAACTTCAAACCTGTTTTTCGCGACTCTGAAAAGTTTTTTGAATCACGATTGAATGGGATTTACGATATTATATTACTCGTCCTATTCCGATGGTCGTTTGTGGTACCCGCTTTGCATGAAAAAAAAACTAAAACAAACCCGAAGACAAAGTTCCTCCCCATTTTCAATGTGAACTTTTAAAGAGCCTTTATCCAACTAGAGGCAGGGTTCGAATGCCATAGTTTTCCCAGCTTTCTTTTGAAGCTTGATTTGTTAAGTTTTTGGAAAAATTCAATGGGTTTTTCTAAATTTTCTTGAACTTACAGAGCTTCGTTTTGCACTTTTGTCTTGTTTTTACAAGTGTAACAGGGTTTTTGTGGTAAATTCTAAGAGACTGAATGTAGTTCGGACTCTTATATTGCTCGCGATGGTTTTGATTTTTTTTTTTGTTTTTTTTTTTCGTTTTTCTGAAAAACTTGTTCAGGTTTAAGTTTACTTTTTGCGGTTTGACTTTTGATTTCTTTATAAGTTCAATTCATTTCCTTGGTTGAATGGAAGGCAAACTCCGCTATCGAACAGCAAAAGTATAAAGGTCCCCAAAAACGTGATTGACTTCTAGTTTCGAATGTAAAATTTAGTTTTCATATTTTCCAGCTTTTCACATTTCCCAACAGAATGGGTTTTTGTTTTAAACAAAATTTTGAGATAGATTGTGTTGTGAAATTTCAAATTTTGAAAAGTTAGTCGCTCAAATTTTTTGTAAGACAACTTTTTTATGGCATGCTTTGCGGCTCAATGGTCTTCCTATCTCGTAATGTTGGCTTAGTGGCCGCTCGATAATTGTTAAAAGTTTCTTTAATGCGGGTGTTGTCTCTGAACTATCTTTCTAAAACTAAGATTGGTATCTTAGATTTCCGTCTTTTTTCTATTCGTTAGCTTGCAATGCTACGCTTCCATTTTATCGCAAATGTTGCAAAGCTCCTCTGACACTTATATATGATTTTTGATATAGCTTGCTTTTCTATAGCTTTTTCTCAGTAATTTGAGTTTTTTGAAAATGGAGAGAAAAACTCTGTTTTCAGGTGTGTTTTAGTTTTTCTTCTTAAATTTTTAACGCAAAATTAAGTGCCTTAATTAATCATCAGAATGGGTCGATTGATGTATCATATTAATGTCCTTTCTCTAATAATTCGAAGGACATAAAAAAATTGAGAAAAGTTTTCTCAGTGTCGAGAAAAGCTGCTTTGAATTTTTCGGTTTTTGGTCTAAATTCGAGCGAATAAGGTGAGCGAGCAAGTTTTTTATAAAAGAATAAGCCATGAAACTTCAGTTACATTTTTTTATAGCCACTTTTGGGATAAAAACTGAAAAAAAAATTGAAAAAAAAAAGTTTTAATTTTCGACATAAAACGTTGCACATTTTGCCTATTTAACTGTGGGTGTCGAGTATTCATAAATTTCAGGTTTGCTTCAGAAGTTTTCATCACACCACGCATAAAAACAATGCTAATATGGAAAAAAAAACTTTTTCGTGTAATTTTTTAAAGAACATGGGCCGAACATTCTGTGCTACTTGCACAGCAACCAGCTATCCTTGTTTGTGTAACGGTTTTTGTTGTCCTATGATTTTTTTTCTGCATTAGGCCAGGTTTGAAATATTGAGAAGCAATCTGTACAGGCGAAATTTTTTAGTTTGAGCGTTATCGAAGTTTACTGCTTTTCAATTTAAATATCGTTTCAGGCGCAGGCAAAACAACCCTGTTGGACTATGTCCTGCAGTCTGAGCATGGCAAGAGAATAGCAGTTGTTATGAACGAATTCGGCGAGGGTTAGTCTTTTTTTAATTCTGTCAAATATCATAAATGAAAAAAAAAATGAAAAGCCAAACAAAACATTTTGTCTCAAAAAACAGTGTTTATCAACTTGTGAACTTGGACTTGGTGTCCAACTGTAGCTGCTGTGTTTTGAGTTCTAGTTGGTTTCAGGCACTGAAGCTGAGAAAGAAAGCATTGCTGTGAATGCAGCTGGAGTCGAAGAGTGGCTAGAACTGAACAATGGCTGTCTCTGCTGCACTGTCAAGTAACTTTCATTTTGATCCCCATTTCCATCAATTTTCAGACTCGGCTGCAAATGTGAAATGAATATTTGAAATTTACAGGACGTAAATTTCAAAGGAAATGAAAAAAGCAACATGTTTTAGAGACGTTGGAGTGTCTGCCATTGAAGCGATGGTCGAAAAGAAGAGAGACGCGTTTGATTATTTGATAATCGAAACTACTGGATTAGCCAATCCAGGTAGGCGAATGAATTGAAACAATTAATCTAGATACGCATTTTTTCATCCAAAAGTAATTGTTAAGTGTCGATCTTCTAACTGAAGTTTGCAGATGAATTCATGATGACCGATAATTTCACTAGTTTTCGTCACGCTTTTCTTCTTCATTTAGTTACTTGTATCTCAGTTATCGAAGCAATCTCTCAGCTTTGCAATTTTTTTTGAAATCTCTCGAGTGTTAATCAGTTTCACCCTCAAATTGTTAATCAGCAACTGCGTAGAATGAAAGATAAGTTTCTCAACAATGTTTTTTTCCAAGTTGAAAGATGACACTTTGTTGATGTAGGTCCCATAATCGGTTCATTTTGGCTTGACGAGGGTCTTCAGAGCTGTCTGAAACTGGACGCAGTTGTCACTCTGGTGGATGCATTCAATGCTCAGAGGAGTCGCACTGAACGGTCAACGGCAGAGGAGTGGGCTGCGTAAGGAACTTGAACATTCCCCTTTACCGCACCAAAATTTTTGAGTATTGTGTCTGATTTCGATTCAATTATTCAAACTTTTGTTTTTCTAATTAAAGGTGAATCTTTTTGATTCTTTTATGAAGCCTTTTCGTAGTTTTTTTTTCTATTTGAATAATTGTTAACCTATCTTGATATTCGTAGTTTTTTTTCTATTTGAATAATTGTTAACCTATCTTGATCTGCTAAATGTAACGAAGATAACATTTTCTTATAGCTAGATGCAAATGGACCATCTAAGCTGATATATCACCGAAATATGTGCACGTACTCTTTAGAAGAATAGTCCCATTTCAAACCTGTAAGAAAACAAAGTATGAAAACCAATCATTTAAGCTGAAAACAAATCAGAAACATACAAAAATGTTTTTAAGGCAATTATTGATTGTGTTTCGATTTATCGCCACAACATTACTTCCTCCATATGCCAATCATTATACAAGCGCAGCGTAGTGTGATACTACGAGGCTACTTTTTTGACTTTTTTGCAACAGAACTTGCAAATATTATTGCTTTTTTGGTGGCTTTTGAAAGCCTGTATAAAACAAAAGCATGTGATTTTGACATTTGATTACTGATAACTTAACACAGTTGATACAATTTGATTTCATCAAACGAATCGAAGAAAGCTATTTGTTTTATACAGCAGCACAATAATAAAAACTATTTTTCAGGAGTTTTCCAATTCAGTACATTTCGCGAGGTTTTCAAAATGCAATATTTATAAACAGTTTGGCTTTATACTTTCCAATTTATTACATGCAAAGCTAGTCTGGCTGCCTTTAGTTCGTCACATTCCAAATTGTTACATGCCAAATTTTGCATTTCAAAGCTCCCTTTTCCCGCGTTCTCGCTTGTCTTAGGCTTCTTTAACCGCCAGCAGTTTAATCGTGTATGGTATTCATTTGGAAATCTTGAATGATCGAGGACTTGGTTTTTATTCGGGTCATTCCTTTTCATGGTTTCTCCTCTTTTTTTGATATTTTCATGTGTCCAGAAATGCAGCCTTCCAGTGGTGGACCCGACGGTTGTGCAGACAGCCGCAAATGGCACTTACCCTACCCTCTTCAACACGGGAGCGAGAAAAGCATGCTCGAACTGGGTTTTTGGTTACGAAGCTTCCTAAGTCGGCCGTGTTGCAATGTCTTTTAATCCTTATACTTCTCCTTCGCGCCGGCATAAACTCTAACCCCGGACCTTATACCTGCTCCTCGTGCAATCACAAAGTCCTCCGTTCCCAAGCAAGCGTGTGGTGCCACGTTTGTGGATGTATTCATTTAAAATGCAGTGATCTACACACACTGAAATACCATAACAGAGATTTCTTACTGTCCCAGCTGCACACCAAGTTATATATTGCCCCCTCCAAGTTACCAATTCCGCAAGAGCGGATTTTTTGTGACACTGTTCTCTATGCATCTCGTCACCATATCAATGCAGGCCGTCATCGTTTCTTTGTACCTGCACTAAATGACGAAACAAAGAAACCAGTACAACATAGGGATAGAGATATCATGACCAAAACGGTGAAAAGAAAAGAAAAGAAAAGGCGGGAATTCCTCCAGACTTTCAGACATCATACTTCTTCTAGCAAGTTCTGGAAAGCCGTCCGATCGTTAAATGGTTCTAAGTCTTTGTTAATGACAAGAAGATTTTACAGGCGAAAGACATTGCAAATGCTTTTAATGTGCAATACACTAATTTAGGAACCCACAAAAGCAACAACGCTCAAAGAGTAACCAAGCGAAAAGCTCTAAAATTCAGCTTAGCTGACTGTTTAGGTTTTATACCGCTCGAAGTGGAAAATTGCATTTGACTGATCAAACTGTCAAAAGCCCTAGGTCCACACTGTCTATGTGCGGTTCATCTAAAACATATTGGCCCGGTTGCTATTAATTTTTTAACGCACATTTTTAACCGCTCTCTATCTTTTAACATCACACCTCAAAATGAACAAATTTAAATGTACCCCTCCCTAAACCAAATAAAGTCCTCAAATTGTCAGAATCCTATCGCCCGGTATCGATTTTAAGCCCAGCTGTCAAACTTATAGAATATTCAATTCGTCCAACCTTAAATAAACATCTACTTAAAGCCGGCCACCAACATGGTTTTGGACCAATTTACTCAATCATTACGGCATTATCAGTCCACATTTTTTTTATCAGTGAGGGTTTCAGACAACAAAGGCCTCCCACTAGTACAGTTTTAGCCACGCTCGACTTATCTAAAGCTTTCGACATGGTCGGTCATCAAACTCCTTTGGATCTTGTTCATGGCACGAGCGTACCGGGAAGTTTAACCAGATGGTTATCAAATTATTTGAGTGGTCGCCAAGCGAAAACATTTTTGGGGAGGCTCTGTAAACATCCAGGATTGTTCGCACAGGTGTCCCACAAGGCTCAGTCCTTTCACCCATTTTGTTTAATTTTTACATTCATGGTGCGCCATTATCACCCCCCCCCCCCCCAAGTTAAATTACCATCGTACGCAGACAACTTTAACCCCTCCATTCAGTCGAGCAACTTTCAGAAAGCTGCCTGTTTTATCCATCTATTTAACAAAGTTATACCATTTCTTGCATCCAGATCTCTTGTTTTCTCCTCATCAAAAGGCTCAGCCATTCTTTTTTTCCTCATTCAATAAGGAACTTAGTACTGACCACCTTGTGGAAATGGGCATTACCCCCCTTCATTCAGAAAAACACCCCAAAGTACTTCTGACCCGTCTCTTGACCCGTCTTCTTAGACCCGCCTCTTAACTTCGCAGAACACTGCAAGCGAACTTCAGCAAAAGCCTCGTGCAGGATAGCAATCCTGAAGGCCTTATCGGGGATGAATTTGGATCAATCAAAAGGCTGGTCAATCAAAAGTAACCTACAAGGCTTTGGTCAGACCAATTTTAGCTTATGCATGCCCAGCATGGTCCCATGCCGCCAGTTTTACGTCTTCTAGTTTTACGTCTTCCAGTGAACAAACTTCCAGTAGTTCAAAATGCCGCTCTCCGCACAATAACGGGTTGTACTAAAATGAGTGCTCCAAAACATTGAATGTAAAATTTTGAATGTGGCTCAACATCTTCAACTTTTATCTGCTCAGTTTACTCTGAAAATACATCCCTTCAAACCCTTTACTTTTTTATCACCACCACCCTTAACCTCCCCGGAGTATCCGCCAACAATACTTGAGATATATGGTCTCGGAATAGGAAATTTATCCAAGACCCATCAAATGCATCTTTCACACCTTAAATCGATTTTAACGAGCTCAGTTCTTTCGCCTCTCAAAATTATAAATCGATTTCAAAACAACTGCACACTAAAAGTGTCGAGCAAGCTATTGCAGATGCTCCTCCCTGGAAAGTGCTTCCGCTCAAACCACCCGATATCTCAACTTCTGAAGAATCCCTCCCTTGCTGCACCAACCAGGCGAACCCTTGCTCAATTAAGATCCGGCTCTAGTCCCGTCCTAAACACTTATTTAAACAGAATATATCCAAATGTCCCCCAAACTGCTCCCACTGTACTTCCACTGTACACTTGGGAGCTAACAACAACATCTTTTCAAAATCGTTCTAAATTGAATTGAGGCTATTCTCTTCTACATGATGTTTGATATTGTCCAAAATTTGTGGTTTTCAATATTTTTTCTACCAGCAGCTTTGATACCTATTGAGAGGCGGTCGAAACATTCAGAGCTTTGCTTTAATATACGAGCAGTCATGTTTGAGTTTGGAAGTCTTTTCGGGTTCCTCGTCGTGAATTAGAGTTTAAATTGTCTAGCAGATCCACTCCTGTAAACGAGCTTTTTGATTGAGACTTATTAAAAACAGTCCAACTGACCGGTAATTCCTACTTGAATGCATGCAGCCTAGCATGTTGCTATTAGCGCAATTACTATTGATTTTGTGTCCTCAACTGAAACTCAACTTATGCGTGCCGATTAATTATCTCAACTTGTCGCTACAATTCCGAACGATTAATTATGTTTTTTCAACGATCAACTATCTTCAGCAGGGTTGCAACAAAAACAGACTTGGAAAACAATTATTTTTTGCTTATACTTGGTTTAAACAACTTAAACGTTTACAGACTCAAAGTTTAGCTTTCCCCAATGTCTACGCACTTACTTTATGTAGTTTTTACTAATCCTTTCATCTTTTCACCGCTTCAAAAAATACTTGAAACGCTCTATTTGACCCCTTGCCTACCTTTGTACTATTTGGGTCCCCCTTTGTACTATTGTGAGATATCACTTTTTGGTTGACTGACCCTAAAATTTTTCTACAGGCGCCTCGGGCGCCAAAATAGACCAACTCTGCGGGGGAGCGCGCGCCGAAAAAACGCAATTTTTTGGTCAAAAATTTTTCCAATGAGTGCTTAAAAACGGCTTTCTTGGCCCCTTTTTTTTTTACAAAAATTTGCCTGCCGCGCAGAAAATTTGGTCAAAATGGGGTCTTTATAGCGATTTGGGAGAGCTAAGAAAATCAATTTGGTCGACTTAAAGAAAAGGTCAAAATTTCTGAATTTTTTTAAAAACTGCACCACCCCTCTAGAAAATCCTAGATCCACCCCTGGCTGTCTTCATCGTTAGAAAAACGTCAGTTTTGTTCCAATAATGTATCATCTAAGTTCGCTTGTTTTAATGCTCTGTTTTAAGCAGGCATATTTTAAACATTGTACGCCTGGTGTGTAGAATATAGGAGCTGAGGGTTGGGAGGGGAATACTGATGCCCACTCACGAACTTTAAACCGTGACTAAAACGGGATTCGAACCCGCGACCTTAGTGTTAAAGGCCGCGCGTCTTATTACTCGGTCACGGCTGCTTGTGTGTACTCAAGCTTTGTCCGCTTTGGTACCGATTTATATTTTTGTTACAATGCTAGTCATATATTGCTGGCAATTGTTTTTTTTTATAGTTTTCCTCACAATGAACAAAGGTTTCAGATGCGTTAGCCTCTCTGAGGAAAAAATCGATAACTCAATGTGAGATTTGATATTTTGAAGGCAGGTTGCACTGGCAGATGTGATTTTGCTGAACAAAACAGACCTGACGACGAAAGACTTAGAAGAAAAACTTGAAGTTGACTTGAAGACAATTAACACATCCGTCGAGGTGTACAGAACGGTCAAATCCAGGTTAACTGCATTTCAAGATTCTATCACCTTCAGTTTTTACAAATATGGGTCTTTAATTCTCACACATTACTTGAGAAAACAAAAAAATCCAAATTTATCCGTTCATTGGTTGACTGATCGCAGTATAGGGATTCGACCCCCTGCCAACCCTAAATAACTTTGGTACTATTTTGCGGCATAGTTTTTGATTGACAGACCCTAAAATTTGTCTATAGGGGGGGCTTTAACGCCTATTAGTTCTAATTTTGAAAGGGCTCAGGCGCCTAAAACCAGCAAAGTTAATAACAACTAGCAAAAAGTGCCTAAAAACATCAGATGGTAAATAATTCCCAAATGGCATAAAACAGAAAATTTTCCAAAATAGCGTAAACTTCATTGTAATTCAAACGTTTTCTATCAGTTTCTAAGTCTAATGTTTTGTCAGTTGCTTCCAAACAAATGTTAAGCCACAGTTTTGTCAAAAAATTGACCACAAGAAGCCTATCAATAACCACAAGCTTTTGTTTTTCGCGTTTGATAAATATTTTCTACACTTTTTTCAAGATAAAATGTCAATCAACATTTGAATTGACTGTTTGCGCAAGCATAGCTTATGTCATAGTATGAACTCTCTTTTTTTCAACCTAAGTCGCAATTATTGTTGCGAAGCAATTGTTGCGACAAAATGTGTTCATTTTGAAAGTGTTCATTTTGATCCAGCCATTAAGTACAGCCAATGCTAAGGATATTAACAAACACTATTATATTACAAATAGCACTTTAGCTTCAAGGTATCATGGATCTGTAGCGTAGAGGTAGGGAAGGATACCACCAACAAATTAAGAGCGTTCGAACCTGGTCAGGGTAGAGCGTTAAGAGCTCGAACCTTAACGCCTCTGTGGTGACTAATTTTCTCACATGGTTCCCGATTTTTTTTTCTCGATTTTTTAATGCAACTGTTGCATTAAATTCATGCCATTTGAGACTTATGCCATTTGAGACGTAATCACTCAGACTCTGATATAGGTCGCGATGATTTTATTTTCATGAAAAGTCATAAAATTTGTTCCGGGTAAACTTACTTATTCGCAGTTTGACTTTATTTTTATGGCTATGTTTTTTTTACAATTTCTTTTCTTTATAAATTTGCGGCGCAGACAATTTAAAAAAAGTAAACTTAGTTTTTATAATAGAGCTCTTACAGAAGGCAATTGTTTTTCCCACACTCTTGAGGAATTCGTAGATCAGCGCCCGACTGATTGCCTATTTTTTTTCTTAAAAAAACTTATCTCAATTGAACGTGAGTTTACTTTGGCTGTGGATTAACATGTTTTTTGGCTGTTTAGAGTTCCTTTGGATTCAATTTTCAACCGCAGATGCTATGACGCAGATGTAATTCCATTGCCAAAAAGTGACCTACCTCATTCTCATCAAAGCGTATCATCTTCAGTAAGTGTCAAGATGACAGTTAGTTAGTTTTTCTTGACGTACGTATTGAGTGATGAGTTCTGCTCACATATTCAATAAATATGAATTACGAGGCTATGATTTATTCGACAGTTTTTGTGTAAGTATTTTGGCATACAAATTCTCAAAATCAAATTCAAAATAAATGATTCTGATTATCTCTTAGATGATCACTTCTTGTTCAATTCGACCAGCAGCATACCACACAGTTGACATTGAAGAATTCGAATCTAAATTGACCGAGTTACTTTGGAACAAGTCTGCTCCCTTCAATGGTGGAGATAATGTTAACTCGCCTCTGGGTCAGCTTGAGATTCTTCGAGCGAAAGGATCTGTAGTGAGTCACGAAGGGAAAGTGTTCCATCTGCAAGCTGTTGGAGAGCTGTATGAAATAAAGGAAATGGACGAAAAAGCAGTGGATACTAAATCTACACATCTTGTTTTTATCGGTACGAATTGTGCTTTTTGACTCGCTATTGCTACTATCTTTTCAATCAAAAATAATAACAAATTTGATGATTTGAGATAATATGATTTTTTTCAAATTAATTAGGAAAACGCTGGAAATCAATACTTTTGTTGTGCGTACTACAATGACTTGCGATTTTGGTTAATGGTAAATTAATTCTTTATTTCAGGCAAAAGTTTGGATCCGGGGCTATTGGAATCGCATTTATTCTCAACATGAACAATTGCAGATGAATCCATGTTTTGCCTTGTACAGAAACTAAAAACGAAAGAAATTGGTGAAATGAATGTGTTAGATTATATGCTGATTCATTGACATCCTTTCAAAAACATTTTAATTCTGTTGTCTTTTCAAAATGCTGAAAAAATTGACATGAATTGTGTCAAAGAATTTTCCAAGCAAACAGTTGAAATATTAATTTTATCAGATGGGAAATGGAATAACCGGTTACCATGAATAATGCTGAACAACATTCAAAGCACTGTAATATTCGAACAAAAGGCGTAGCGCAGAATTTTAACTGAAAAAAGTTTTAATGGTTTTTTACGAAACATGAGAAATCAATTTGGTCTGGCGCCTAAAAAAGGTCAAAACATATGACTTGTTTTCCAGGTTTTCATGCGCAATTTTCGAAATAATGTTTTTAATCCAAATTGTTGCTAAATTCCATTTGCTCTAAAAGTTTTTTTATGCTTTAATTAACTTTACGTGCATTCTTCGAGGTACCTAAAAACTAATCTTCACATAATAGTGAAGCAAGTCAGAAACCTAGTAATCTAACGCTTAAGAAATAATGCAAGTTTCTACCAAAGCTAAAATCAATCCGGATTAAACATGCGCATTTTACTTGAAAGAAAATTGTTAGATGAACAGAGTAAAAGAACTCGAGTCTGACCTAGCCAAATTACACAGCTTAGATATATCGCAAACTCGTGTTCTTAAATCTCTATATTTTTATCTTAAGAAGCACAACGAGCGTACTTTCGACACTTCAGATTTCAAAACATTTGTTTAAATTAAAATCAAATAAAAACAATTTCAAGGTATATCGTTTGAGTGCCCATTTTTTTCAGGAACATTTTTAATCTTTTAATTTAAATTATTATTATAAGTTCTGTATAACAAAAAAAGTTGATCTTAATTCACTTTTAAGAAAAATTGTTTGATGAAATGTTCAAAACTTCCGCTTCTGATCTTTCAATGAGCCGATGAACAATTTTTACAGACTAAAAGACTCATAATGCCTGATCTAGCCAATATAAGCATCTTAGATCTATCGCGAACGCGTGTTCTAGACTTTTTTTAATCTCAAATGTTCTCTATATATCACAAAGAAAGCTTGTGCCACATGATCTTTTATTGATCTCCCAACATCACAACGAGCATACGTTCGTCATTATTCAGATTTCAAAAAAGCTTTCAGTGGCAAAAAAGGGCATTTCGACGCAGTGTATCCGGTCAGTCTGATTATTTCAACCAAATTGCGCAATTTCGCTCAAATTCTAATCAACATACTCGTTCAAGTTTCAATCGAACAAAAATAATTTTTTGGTATATCGTTTTTATGCAAATATTTTCACCAGCAACATTGTTTATTTTTGATTTATTCGAATTTTATAAATTCTTAATAACAAAAAAGTTCATCTTAATTCACTTTTTAGAAAAATTCTTTGATCAGTTTTTCGAAAACTTCCGCTTCCGATGTTTTCAAGAAACGATGAACGTAGTTCAGGCTGTTATATAAGCCGCGATGATTTTTTTCAGGAGAAGTCTTTAAGTTTCCTCAAGCGCAAAAAAACTTTTTTTGCTAATTGACCTTTGAATTCTTTGCAAGTTCAGTTCAATTCCTTTAAATAAAGGAAGGCAAATCCACTATTGAACAGCAAAACTATAAAAGTCACAAAAAACTTGATCCAGTTCTCTTGTTGAATGAGAAATTCTATCGAATTTCCCAGCTTAATAAAGAGGTTTACTTGGTGATATACTCTGGTGAACAAAATTAAGTGCAAATTCAGGATTTTACTCTGTAAAATGTCTGGTTTCAATGTACATTTGGGACAACATTTCCTTCTAACTTCTGTAAAATTTTTACATTGACCGAGAGCAAATGATCAGCACTACCTTATAAGAAAGTATCAATATTTGGTTTCAAAAACTGGCTTTTTCAGACTCGGATTAATTGGTGAGTCATTGAAACAAAATATTGATACTTTCGCAGACGGTAGCTCTGATAATTTGCTCTGGGTCAATGCAATAAGTTTACTGAATTTTGAATGATCACTTGTCCAAAATAAACATTGAAACAGATATTTTACAGATTAAAATCTTGAATTTGCGCTAAATTCTGTCCACCAGTGTAATTTTCTCAAATTGTGTTAATTTCATCGAAAATGTCAATTAAGTATGTTGTCAATAATGTCAGTTGAAGTAAATTCAAAACGAGTCAATGTGTTTTTTCTGTTTGCTTGCTTTCATTGACACTTTTTAACGGTCTGTTGGCAATGTTTGTTGCTGGCGTATCATTAAATTGAAAATCCTTCATGCTACTCTTGAAAAATTTTCAAAAATTGATTCCATTATCGAAGTGATGTAAGCTTAGTCATTATTCGCTTTTAATTCCATCCAAAGATATGTAGGCATGTCATAGGATGTTGGCTCCCTATCATTTAAAATCCCAGATGTGCTTTGGTTGTTGATTATGCAATTGTTTATCTACGAGGTCAAATTTTCCCACCTAGCTTTTATAAGTTTCTTTGTCTTCAATTATTTTTGTTCAGTATCTGTGTACTGCTTAAAATCTAGTTGACGATTGAAAGCCTGCTCTTTCATCGTTTCATTGAAGCCCATTCTTTGCTATCTATTGCTATGCTATTTTTGACTATCTAATACACAAGAAAAAGAACTCTTTAAACAGAAGTCAGGGTAATCCTGTAATCCGCAAAAGCTTTTTTAAAGCTAGTTTTCGCCATTTTTCTTATGCTTGTAAAGGCAGCTTAGCCTGGTCTAATTTTTTTTATCTTGGTGTAAAATTATGATCTGTTTCAAAATCTCATATTTGGTATGGCGATTTACAAGAAAACAAAAAAAATCCAAACATGGGTCAAACATTCCATAACAGACTTTTTAAAGGCTGTAAACAGTGGGAAAGAGTAAGAGGAGACTACGGGATTATGCAGGCACACAGGAGTTAGTAACCACTTTTTCCAAGGATATGTTTTTTGAAGAAAAAAAGAAATTTTGTTGTAAAAAGACGAGAAAAACCCAAAGCGTTTTAAAAAAAATTAAATAATACTTGTTCATATTTAAGAAAATTCATCATTGTTCATAATACTTGTTTTCATCAACCAGGAGTTCTAGGAAAACATGCCAAGCAAGATATTTGATATTTTGTGATCGCTTGATAAGTTTTTTCCGTTGCTGAATAAAAAATCAAAAATGTCTTGCTTGGCATGTTTTCCTAAAACTCCTGTTTGATGGTTTTATCTCGGTGTAAAAAATAGTCTGATTTTGGGTTTCAGGCCTGAAGCGCTCTTCACTCAGTTACGACAGTGTAGTTGGTTTATTGCAGTTTAAGGGGATGATCTAATATAAAAATATATAAAATCTTTTTTTTTGGCTCAACTGGGTTCTGCTCAAAGATTTTTGTCTTTATTAAGCAACGGAAAAACTTATCAAGCGGTAACAATTTCAAAAAAACTTTGAGCAGAACCCAGTTGAGCCAAAAAAAAAGATTTTATATATTTTTATATTAGGTCATCCCCTTAAACTGCAATAAACCAACTACACTGTCGTAACTGAGTGAAGAGCGCTTCAGGCCTGAAACCCAAAATCAGACTATTTTTTACACCGAGATAAAACCATCAAACAGGAGTTCTAGGAAAACATGCCAAGCAAGACATTTTTTATTTTTTATTAAGCAACGGAAAAAACTTATCAAGCGATTATAAAATATCAAATGTCTTGCTTGGCATGTTTTCCTAGAACTCCTGGTCGATGAAAACAAGTATTATGAACAATGATGAATTTTCTTAAATATGAACAAGTATTATTTAATTTTTTTTAAAACGCTTTGGGTTTTTCTCGTCTTTTTACAACAAAATTTCTTTTTTTTCATCAAAAAACATGTCCTTGGAAAAAGTGGTTACTAACTCCTGTGTGCCTGCATAATCCTGTAGTCTCCTCTTACTCTTTCCCACTGTTTACAGCCTTTAAAAAGTCTGTTATGGAATGTTTGACCCATGTTTGGATTTGTTTTTGTTTTCTTGTAAATCGCCATTCCAAATATGAGATTTTGAAATCAATGGTTAAAAGGGGTGTCAGCGGCTGAGTCCAATTTTTATACAAATTTTATGCAAGCGTTATCAAAAAAGAATATAGACTTTTTTCCGTTTTAACAACTTGTTTAACAGAATCATTTGAATCACTTGTATCTTAGTTCATGAAGAAATCAAAATTCTTTGCGTCTTCAGCCACTTTAGCCTGGAGTTAACAATTATGCCTTGGATGGCAAAGATCTTGATTAGGACCTATTTTTTTAAATCTGGAAATATGCCGTTTCAAATAAAATTGGCGGCCATTTATTGGTCTGCTTATTTTTTTTCGTCTTGATGGTTATATCTTTCATTTGTTTTTTTTGCTGCGCTCATTTTTAATGTTGTTCTTAGTGTTTGATTTACTCCTATGTGTAACTTTACTTAAATTCCTTCATTTTGTTACAAAAAAATCCTTGTCCCAAGTCAATTGGGCCTAATTATCATCAACTTTATAACATAATTTTGGGTCATTTCAAGAGAAATAATTTTAACACTTTCTTCTGCACTTTTGAAGTTTGTTATAGGTTTACCAATCGGTTTGTTGAAATTTGTTTTTTCGTTTTGGAGAATGTTTTCAAATTTGCAAAAGTTTTTGATTTTCGCAACCACTCTTTCTCAGTTTCAGAAAATAGTATCAATTGAAAGACGACTTCCCTGTGTGCCTCAATACTCCCCTAGAGTCTTTTTCATCTTGAATCCTATGTTTAACGCCTTCGAAAAAGTGTGGGGGATTATTTGACCCATTTTTTATATAATTTTTTTCTTTTTCTTAGCAACTGCCCCTCTCAAATCCGAGTTTTTGGTTTAAATGATTAGAACTCTTTATAAAAACTCCCCTGTATAAACGGCTACACCCAACTTTTTTCTACATAAAAAGTTATGGGCCTCGGAATAACCCACCTTTTCATTTTTGACGGCTTTGTGATTATTCATGACTCTCGAAACTAACATAACAAGTGTGATATTGCAAAATCAAAGGAGTTGAAGGGCTTCGGGAAGCTCCCCTGCATAAGCGGCCACTCACAAAAAAAATTTTTAACACAAAAAGTTATCGTCATCGGAAAAGTCAAATTTTTTGGAATATTCTCGAAAACTTCCCTGCCATATCTCTGATTTTGGGTTTAATTCAAAGATAGGGTTGCGGGTAGCTCATTTGGTTATGCGACCACGCCCCAATTTTTCTGAATCAAAAGTTTATGGTATTCGGGAATTTTAATTTTTTTGACCGTTTTTTTGAAAGTTTTTTTAAAACTACCCTCCCAAGTCTGACATTTTAGGTTCAATCGAAAGTTTACGTTGCATAAATTCTGTCTGCGTAAGCGGCTCTGCCCTGTTTTATACACAAAAATGTATGGTTCACGGAAATGAAATTTTTATGTTGACAGTTTTTTGGACTTTTCTCCGTTTTGTTGACCGTTTTTTTGGACTTTCCTCGCTAGCTATTCTGCCAAATATGATATCATAGGTTTAACCAAAACAATAGTTTTTGAAATTACACGTTTATAATTAGCCATGCCCAATTTTTTGTGACTTTAGGCGAAAATCACCGTGCCAGTTCTCATGTTGTGCCTAATGAAGAAATCGGGTTTTGGGAACCTTTTTTGCTGAAAAGGCCACAATCTGCTTTTCGCCGATTTAAGTTATGAATTTTGGAAAGTCTTCTGACCGTGTTTTAGAACTTTTGACCGTTTTTTTAAGAAAAGTTTTGAATTTTGAATTTTTTCTATAATTGCCCAATCAAATCTGAGATGAAAAGTTCAATTCAAAATCCCGGTTGCAATAATTGTTCATACAGAAGCGGCGACTCCTTAGTTTTTTGTAAGAGAAATGTTATATACTTGGGAAAATTGATTGTCTCTTAAATTTTTGGGACAAAATTCAACTTTTGAAATCATATTTTTCGTGCCGCATGAGGCTAGCTGGGCCCCTATTTGTTTTTTAAACAAAAAATTTGTTTCAACTAGTTTTTTTCATCATATATTTTTTTCGAATTTTTTATGGTTGTTTTGTATCGCAAGCGGTGCGACGCTCCACTTTGCCTCTTCGTTGAATGTGTGCATGTCTGCTGCATCAGTGGCTATGTCTCAATTTTTCTACACAAAAGTCAGGATTCTCGAAAATTTAAAATTTGTGTTTCGTTGACCGTTTTTTGGAAACTTTTTGACTTTTCTTGAAAACTACCCTGACATTTTTTATGCTTAAAAGGCTACGACCTACTTTTGCAGAAAAAATTTATGGGTTACGGATAAAGAAAAGTCTAATTTTTGATTTATGATTGTTTTTCAAAAAGTTTGACTTTTGAAGCACTACTTTATTGGTTTCAAGCAAAAAAAATTGGGTTGCAAGAACTTTTTTTGCAAAAATTTTTTCAAGGGAAAAGATTGCGTCCCTGGGAAAGTTCTCAACTTATTTTATGGTTGAGAACTTTTGGATGTTTGAGATTCAAGATAAACCTTCTTACTAATTAACCCCCCTTCCTACCTTTTTACTAAACCTTCTTGACAAAATTTTAAAAACAGAAACTTTTATGGTAAAAGCTCTCAAGCCATGTACACAAGGTTACCCTTCGAACTGAATCCAAGTAAAAATTTCTACTTCCACTAAAATTGTAATCTCCACATGCAGTTTTTCTGCGATTTTCTTGTCATTTATTCTGTAGGATTTCTTATGAGAAAGTCACTGGCTGATGTGTTTTTGGACAACTTTACTATATTTGGTAAATTTTAAATTTCTTGAAAAACCAGGCTCTCCAGACCTGGTGTTTTGCAAATGTTTTATTTTCTAAGAAGCCCAGAGCAACACTGCAAAATTTTGATATGGTTTTTACCTGGCCAGGCCTGGCTCCTGGAATGGTTCTATGGATGGTTATACCATGGGCAGGTAACCCTGGACATGGGGAATTCTCGAGAATCGATTTCCTCTCAAAGCCGCTGTCTTTTTTAGTATCACGTGGGCAAAAAAATGCCCTAAATCACGAGGCAGTTTTTAGACAAAAGCACACCACGTTCGGAAAGTTTTGATGCCTTGTTTTATATATTGAACTGGATTTTGTAAGTAAAATTTGAGCATTACCCGCAAAGCACTTTCAGGGAAAAAGTGCCCTTTTATGTACCGTTTTTTTTTCGAAACTCTGATTGATTTTATTTATAAAAATCCCATTAACACCGTACTATAGGTCTGCAACAGTTTTGCAATTTTTTTTTCATCAAATGTAACTTTATGCATTAAAAAAACACATTGAATGTATTTTCATCAAAACCGAGTTAAGCAGCTTTCTTCAGTAGAAAACACTTTCAATATAAATAAAACATGTTGTCATATTATCGTTGGTGTTTTAAATAATCAATTGCCTTGTAGCATTTTCATTGCATTGGCGCCGAATATTTTTCTTCGATTTCAATTTCTTTTTGAAAAAGGAAGAAAATGTCAACGTATCATAAGTTTTGTGTTCACGTAAATGAAAACATTTCTGAGTGCTAATTGTAGCCAGCTCGTCTTCCTTTCTTCCTTAAATCATGCATAATATTAATAAGACGACTTGCAAGCGGTGAAGCTCTAAAATTAGCGGCAAATCAATCAGTCAATCAACTTGATTTTGCGAGGCATCCTAAAACTCTAAAAAAGACTTCCCATCTTGCCAAAACTTTGAGTGCTCTGACCATTTAAAACAAAAAAAAACATGGCGAAAAAATTCATTTTTTGATCACTGCTAGAATTTTTCCACTGGAAAAATCTAAATAAAAAAATCAAAAAAAATTTCTTATTTCAAAATTTTTTTTCTTAATTCAAAAAAAATCTCTCCAACATAAACCCACCACACCTAAGTTTAAATAGAGAAACTCTTCTCCCATCACTATTGCCTGGGCTACTGGACACAGGAATAGTTTTCATGAGTAATCTCAAACCCTGCGCTAAACATGAAAAATTATATGTTTTTGCACTTGTGATTATCAAAAAATAACAGACTTTAAAAATACAGCTAAAATCTTTACTTTGATGCAACAGCTGCTTGTTCACGATTTGTTCACGCAATAGTGAGTTGATGCAATTTTTTTGGGACTCGGTGGCGCACGAATAATTCGTGCAGTTTTTTTTGTTTATCTGCCAATTGGTGGATTATTACCCATCGCCTATATTCGCTAGCTTTATGCAGTTGAGACATTGTGTGTTCAGAGCAATTACTTTCGACGGTACCTTTCAAAAAATTCCTTAATTCTTAATTTATTTACGCGGCTATTGTAGCAATTTAATTACTTGCCATGAAGTTTGAACTTCTTTTGCTAGTTTTATTCGTCGTCAATTTTACCCGCTCATACTCAGTCGGAGGGCTTAAACGGGAACAGCGTAGACACTATTGGGTAACCGGTGCCAGGCCCGTGGTTTTCATGCACGGGGTAACTAGCAATGCCGAGAAAGGCTACACTTTATTGCAGCGGATCAGAGACGACTTCCCAGGTGTGAAAACATATGCGCTCACGTCGTTCGAGGACAATAAGAGTGTGTTAGAACTGAAGATTCAAGTTCAGGGGTTAGCAATAGAACTGATGCAGTATGTCAAACAAGCGGGAGCTGACGTGAGTTTTCTTGATAGTTACTCAATTAGTTGTTTCTTCCACCTAAAATTGGTCATGGTTTTTAAATCGACTGCTGGTATGTCGGTCATTATCCTCATGGATAAAATTCAGTTCCCGTCCTCCGGAATAATTGACTCAGTTCTCCCGTTGAAACGAATTCCCAATTTTCTTTTACCACCCTATTGGAGAGGCGGCAATAGTTACACAAAATTAAATGCATTTTCGAGCTTTACTCTCTAAAATGCCCATTTAAAATTTCGAGAAGCAAAGTTTTCGAGAAGCAAACTTTTCAAAAAGCTATTTTTTTAAAATAATTATGAATGCTAGGATTTAAATTATCCTGAATAAATCACATATTTTGTCAGAAAACAATTTGGTTGTAAGGATAAAACTAACATGTTGATGCTATTGTTACAGCAACGGAATATCTACAAAAGGCGCTAGATCGAAAAAAAAACATATACTGCTGATTTATAGATCTGTCAAAAGCATTCGATAGGGTAGATCATGAAATCCTACTCAACAAATGTAATCGGTATGGTTTGCGAGGACCTATATTTGAACTATCGAGATCATATTTAACAAACACAAAACAGTGTTAGTCATAAGGTTTCAGCATTCAAGACAATTGAACACGAAGTGCCCCAGGGCTCTGTTCTGGGACCAAATTTGTTTCTCATTTATATAACTGACCAACCTAATATTTGTGAAACTTCTAAGAAAACAATGTTTCCGATGATACGAACATCTGTGGCAGTGTTGACTTTAGTAAATGCTGTTTTGATTTGGAATAATATATAGTTTGGTTCACTAAAAATAAACTGACCTTGAAGGATCATACAACAGTTTGTATACAATTTTAAACAAAAGTGAATCGACGGCATTACAAGTTAAAGATCATTTGATGAACGAAAAATCAGCAATTAAGTACGTAGGCCTTCACTTACATCAAGAACGAAAATTTAAATCACATATGGTTGAGAAAATATAGCGGATCTACTTAACAATCTCCCCCCCCCCCCCCTATTGTACCTACTAAAGAATCCCCCCCCCCTTTCTTGAAAGGGGGGAGATTGTTAAGTAGATCCAATATAGCAAACATATATCAGTTCAGAAAGTTTTACAAACCAGGGACCTTAATGAAACTATATAGGGCATACATAAAACCTTGAATTCAAAATGGGGTCCTAATATACGGCACAGCTGCTCAATCCGAATTGAAAACTCTTCAACAGTTCCAAAATACAAATTTTGAAGAATTTTTCTGCTCAAAAGACAAGAGTCTCTTCAAAAAAAATAAACTACATCTTTACGAACATCTTTTCAAAGTCAATCAGAAATAACATAACACCGCCATATATAGTGAGTTTTTTCCCGAAATGAGTTTGGTGATCTTATAACAGAACCTAGTCAAAATAAAACTGTGAAAACGAGAATTCGAAGCACAAATTGAAACAAAAAACCTTTACCTTTTAGAATTTGAGTTTTGTTTATTTGCCTCAGCCATGTGATTTTTCGCTTTTGTTGAAAATGATAAAATTGGATCGCAAAAAGTCACATTCGTTTCTACACAAATTCTGAGATAACTATATTCAAGGTAATGATCAATTGGTTGAGTTTTTCTGTTAAGCTAATTTTTTTTCTCAAAAAACGTCAGTTTTGTACATTTCTCGCATCATTTTCTTATTTCTCACAAAAACAAAAATAAAAACTATTACTTTTTCAATTTTTTTTTCATTTCGCCAGTTTTTTTGGAAATTAAATTTGAAATCAAACTATTTACAATAGAAAAAAGACAAAAATGAAAATAGCAACTCTGTCTAGGTTGGCACTGATTATATAAAAAAGTGGAGGACTAAACAGAGCAGTTAGTTGATCCAAAACCAAACTCGTGATTATTATACGTTACCTCTTATGTTTTTTAAACTGTTATATAGGAAGATCACCAAATAGAACCCTTGCAGCTAAGTAAGTTTGTCACAATGACATTGATCATATATTCTGAACTTAAACAAAATATCCTTTTGCCAAAAATGCACAATCAAACTAGTTTGGTTTTTGCATTTTGCTAGTCGTAGCCTAATTCAATTTTTTCACTTTTTGGTTGAATTTGTTTTGATTTAGTTTTGATTGAACAGCAAAATGTAGAAATTATCATGGCATAGTGAATGATTACTTTTGAGATCTTGTTTTAAAAAAAACAGATGCTTAAAATGAAATACATATGTGATTAGTTATTTTGATTGCTTAACTGAAGTAGAGTTAGTGTGAGAACCGACTTGAATTTTTGATCAATCAGGTCTCCTGAAAACTTTTTATCTGAAGTCTGGTCGCATATTTTTTTCAAACACATTGGATCGTCTGCTGGACCATAAGGCTTTAAAAAGTGTCCAAGTTTTTGTCTCATTGTTATTTAAAAGCAGCCAATCTATACACATTCAGCCACGTTCTTGAGTACCACCCGAAAAACTGTTTTTTACAAAAATTTCTGTTAGGCCATTAAAAAATGTGCCGATGGCTGATTTTTTTTCAAAAATTGTGCCATGAAAATCGTTCAGCAAAACAGCAAATGCATAAGTTGGTCAAAACCTCCGACGAAAGCCAAACTGACAGTGAAGGAAAAGTAAACGCTCTTCAAAAAACAGTTCCGATTTTTAACTAATAGCCTTCTAAAATTTGTACGGTCGGAACTGATCGAAAAAGTGCCAATAGTTAGTACAGTTATTAAATTTGCCTTCAATAAATTGCCACCTCTTTCGCATTTTTGATCAAGAAGGGATATTCACCCGATTTATTTCACTTTCAAAAAAAAGTGGCATCAAATGTATCTAATCTACCGTATTCGTTAGTTTAGTTACAAGTTTTGTTATACTAACAAGAATTGCCAATGATTTTTGAATTTTCTCGAAACAGTTTAATAGAAAGTTGAATGTGCTGAACCAAAAAAAACTGAGTTAAAACGGACTGGTTTGATTATTATGAAAACGTGCTGAAAACTTATTTTAAAATTTAGCCAATACTTCATTCAAAATTTTAGCTTTTGATTGAGATTCGGCCGTTTATTATCAATTGGAATAACTGTCTTGGTTTTAAGTACTTAAAACTTCATGCAATCTCACAAAATGAACAGAAACAAATCTATTTTTGAGTTGTGATTAAATTGTTTCAATAAGCGTTACTATGCGAGACTTATTAAAACTAGTAATTTTTTTAAAAAAAATTTCTGAGAGAAATTTAGTTGACTAAATAATTTATGCTGCGTTTTCGAAGTCTCTCACTCATTTTATTTGAAATATAAAATTTTCATGCAAAAAAGAATACAAAAAACAACTCTAAGCAATGGCTCCAGTTTTTTAGAGGGGTTCCGCAACAGGAGGCTATGCTTCAATGAACAAGAAGTTAGCAACCCTTAAAACAATTCTCACTTCTATAACTGAATTACTTTTAATTATTTCGATGAGATAGTAAATGCTTCGTTTTTTAAAATTTTTAACTGCAATGAGCTTAGTAAGGCCACATAGAAAATTCGTGTTCAATTGCTTCTGATTTTTTTTTAAAATCTACGAAATTTAAGTTCAATAAAAAACAATAACGCTCTCGAAATACAAATAAACAATTCGTGGGAAAAACATGAAAAAAATGTTACTTTATATGAGGACGTAACGTTTCACTATTCTCAAAGAATATTTTCAATTTTTGAGTTTCTCAAAAAATTTTATCAGAAAAATACCAAACATAATGTTTTTGTTGAATTCAAAGAGTTTCCAGCCCTATATATTTTTTTCATGAGGACTTGAAGTATTAATTTTCTCAAATAATTTTTTCAATTTTTAAATTTCACAAAAAATTTTATCAAAAAAGCGGATTTTCAAAAAATTTATAAAAATTTCGTTGAACTTTTTTAGGTCGATCAAATTGATTCTTCAGGCGCTCTCAGCACTTATTACTCTTAGAACAATAGCAGACCGTATTTTGACCAAAATTTGAGAAAAAAACAGGTAAAAAAAACATTTTTGGGCAGTTTTTGTAAAATGTTGACCAAGAAAACCGCTTTTTTTGGCGCGCGCTCTCCCTCAAACTGAGTATGTTTAAGCGCCAAATTTTAGATTCGATCAACCAAAAATGGATTTCTTAAAAAAAGTCAATGGGGGACCTTTTGAGTCGGCAGGGGGTTGAATCCATGAGAAGAAGTGTCCGTCTCCGACCTCTTAAATCAGCTCCAGTTTCAAATTCAAATAGTTTTCAAGCCCTATATCTTTTTTTAATAAAATTTTTTTCTAAATCAACATTTGAGTTATCACTTTTTTTGAGTTTATTGTCTGTTAACTATGTATCTGATGCTGTACAAGAGAAAAATTTTATTTTATGAGATTTTCCGTTTTTTTAAACGTGTGCTTACCTGTATATGCAAATATAAAGTGTCCAAACTTTACTCGTCGGATATAAATTTTTCACAAGTTCCAGAATTTTTCATTTGGGTGTATTTTTCAGTCAAATAGACTCAAATAGGTCAAACTTGTCGTTTTCAAATCAGAATGAAATATTTTATGCCAGGATGTTTTAAATAATAAAAAAATTGGTACCAATAAATGTTTGACTGCACTAAGAACACGCTTTTAAGTGTGCAAATCACAAAAAACGTGATCGGCTTCTAATTTCGAAAATGGAAATTAGTTCTCAAATTTTTCAGAGAAATAATATTTTTATTTATTGACCCAATCTCAAATTAGCCCAGCCTCGCAGTTGAATCAATTCTCAAGTTTTCACAAAAAAGAAAAACTGCCTTAAAGAAAAACTCAGCATTCTTGTTATTATTTTTTGGTCAAAACTCAAATTAAATTGCTTGTAAGATGCAGGAATCTTTACGAAAGCTAAAGATAACTATACAAAATTTTTTTCGTCTTTTTGTTTTTAAAAGTTTTGATAGTTTTTGTGCTCGGTGTGGAATGAATACCAAAAACACGCTTGGAAGTGTGAAAATCAAGTAAGCCGTGATCAACTTCTAATTTCGAAAGTAGAATTTAGTTTTCAGATTTCTCAGCAAAAAAAGTCTTACTTGCTGACCCAGTTTTTACAAATTGAGTTGATTTTATCAACAAACTATTGCCTTCAGTGTGAAGTTTTTAATTTTTTAACATTGTTTTCAGTTTTTTAACATTGTTTTCAGTTTGAAGTTTTTAATTTTCGAAGGCCAAGGAGGCGCTAAATGAATTGAAGATAACTCTTTTTTTTTCTTGAATAAAACCAATTTATCATAGCTTAAATAATCATATTTTCTGTAATAAAATTTTTTGTTAGCTTTACTCGATCAATTGAAACCCATAGTAGATTAACTATTTGCGGCTGATCCCAGTTTATGCTTCAATTTAGGAGATTACGCTCATTGGCTACTCGCAAGGAGGTCTCATTAGTCGATTTCTAGTTGAAGAGTTAAACGATAACGGACTAGTTCACACCCTCATATCTTTAGCTGCACCCCAGAGCGGACAATATGGAGGTTTGATATAACTAGGGAAAAGTTTATAAGATTTTGGGACTAATTTATCATGCCATATGGCACGCTTGGTTTGTGAGACGGGGTGTTCACTCGGTTTCGAAATGGATGTTTAACCCATTCAGACTGAATAGAGTATTTTTCTAGCCGTTTTTTTTTATCTTGAAGGCAATCTTAATCTCCAAACCATTTAGAGGAGTGAAAGATTGTAACTTTAATCTTTTAGGTGGAGGGGGAGGGGAGATTGGCTACCAAAAGTAAGTTGGAAAAAGTTTTTTCGGTCTGAAGTTTTCGGCAATTTTTAAAAAAACGAATCAGGTCTTTTTCTGAACTGTTCCATTAAATTGTTCATGTGGTTTTAGCCGGCACATTTGACAAGCACATACATGATCTGTTGTATCTTATTCTTGGTCAAGAAAAAACAACAATGCTTCTTAGTTTACTTGGAGGAGCCACTGGACTATTTGATACCTTGTGCTCTAACGAAATTAGCATAGATGTTAAAAGTAAGTCAACATGAAATTTTGAAACACATTGAATAAAGCTAATTACATTTGAAAAACAAGACCCATGTTTTAAGCTGTTAAAATATATCACCCATAAATGAAGGGGTCAGGGATTATTTCCATGAGGTTGTCGCTGAGTTGGTCACACAAGTTATATTTAGGATCTGCTGGTCTATTTGTGTTGATCCTTTCAAAGTTTGCTAGCAATTTTTTGTGAGCTTTAGTAAACTTGTTTTTTCTTCTTCTTCCTCTTTGTTTTCTGTTTTCTTAAAATTTTCCTCTATTATTGCACAAGCCACTTGTAGTGTGATAGTATCTGCAATTTTTTTCCGACCTAAGTCGCAAATAAAATAGTTACTTTTGGTGGCACTGTTTAATCAGGAGGCTGCATTGGAACTGTAATATCTTGTGCTTTGATCTTTGATTCGTAATGCGGTAACAAACTTGATGCTTTTTCATTGATCGATTGATTCAAAGTTTTCATTTAATTTCTTTGCAGCAATTTACTCAAACTAGATGAAACTATTGCTTTTGTCGTCAGTTGAATTTAGTACGGATTTAGGATTTTTATAAAATCTTTTCTGCTTTTTCAATAGTTGACAAACGTAGTTCAGACTCTTTTATACGTCGTGATGATTTAGTTTTTTTTTTCAGGAAAAACCTTACAATGATCTAATAACTACATAAGTGCATTCATAAATAATAACCAATTTCTTCTTCTTCTTGCTTCAGGAGGCCCTGGTCAGTGCTCCGCACTGATATGGGCACGACCCATCCTTCTGAGGTATGTGAACAGGTATCCAGGGTTGTTGAATAGGCTTTCCATGTCGTCATCTTGTCCGGTCAGTTCGAGATGACGACATGACCAATTAATGAAAGTCCTTAAGTATATGTACACTTTTTGCTGAACGGCACAAATTACTCTCCATTTCAGGAAAGAGGAAATAGCGCAAACAGAACATTGTTAATTTCTATTTTAATTCTTGAAAAGATTTTTTTTTTCAGATTTTCCAGTTGGTTAAATACTATTGATTCAGATTTCTCGTTTAAAAAGTTTTTTATCTAAAAGTTGCCTATCATAAGTTGTTTAATAAATTCAAACAACTACAAGACTGCTCGTATCAGGGCAAAGCCCTGAAAGTTCCGACTGCCTTTTGAGGTCTATGGAGCATTAGTAAGATGAAAAATTTCATGTAATAAAAAAAATAAAACTTTTTTTTTTGAAAAAATTTGAGATTTTATGTAAAAACATCCCCCCCACACGTCATATTAAGTACAGAGTGATAGATTTTGCGCCTATTAACAAATCAATTATGGCATATAAGCTTCCTTGACCCAATTTAGAACGATTTCTAAGACGGATTAAATCTCGCTTACGCGTTAATAGCGCGAGATTTTTCGCGCGTTAATTGTCCCAAATTGGTCAAAATGGCAATCTTTAAACCCCCATAACTTTACGAAAAATGATCACAGGTAAAATATCTTTTCAAATTCAACCTCAGGACAACAATAGCTTTCGAATGATATAAAAAAATTCCGTCAAAACGGCTAGTTAAAAAGTCGAAATTTGTCTGAAGAAAAAAAAAACCCACCCCGAGCACAAATATTCCGTTATTTTCGTATCGAAAATCAGAACAATAAGGCAAAATATTTTTACTTTGAAATACGGAAAAGAAATTTTTTTTAATAGGCTAGTTTTTTTTCCTGTTTCTTTGCGTTCACTGACACTTATTCAATGCGCTTTTGGCTATGTTTTTGTATAGGCTGACCAAATTGATGTTCCGCGCTTTTTTATTTGTCTACAAAAACCCACACCAACTTTAAAGAAAAAACAGGCCAAAATGGATGTCTCAAACTAGTAACAAAGAGGGGAGCTTTTGGGTGGCTAGGGGTTCGAATCCCCCGTAAATCAGCTACTGGTCGGTAGAACTTTTTCTGTTTGATTCTGAAAAAGTTTTTTCTTAATTCCTACAGCTTAAATTTAATTTTTCGAGGTTTGAATTTTGATCGTTAAATCATAATTTGTTGATTACTTGATTTGAAGACTGTGTGTTTTTTTTATAATATTTTTAATAGCCGAAGTTTTGATGATTGGTTAATTTAAAAATTGTTTGTTACCATCGTTTTGTGTATAGCTTTTAAGAAAAGCCTCAAGTAGTTTCAACCTCAGACAATTCTCTTTTAAATTGTTTGCAAGTAAATGAACAATTTTTTTTGAAAAAATTCATTAAATTTGTTCACGCTCAAATTCAATTTTTCGTGGTTTGACTTTTTATGTCTTCTAAGTTCCTCGGTTTCTTTGTTAAAAGGAAGGCAAACTCCACTATCAAACAGTGAAAGTGTAAAAGTCACAAAAAACGTGATTAACTTCTATTTTCGAAAGTGGATCTAAGGTTTCAGATTTCCCAGCGGAATAAATTGTTTTTGAATTTCAAAAAGCTTCGAAACCATTTTTTAAAGTTTCTTTGCATTCATAATTGACCTTTTTCAACCGTCTGTTGGCTATATTTTTTAGTTCGAGATCTACATGCCATGAAAATTAACAACCTTGACCAAATGTTAAGTGTGTGCACGTACTGGAGGAACCCGCTCAAATTGATGTCCACGCGCAAGAATAACTCAAACTATTTCAGCACAATGAACAACGAAAATATCCAAACCGCAAACAAACGATATAAAACTAACTTCGCCAACTTGAACGTAAGACTTCTCTTTTGCAGATATATTGGATCTCTTTAAAATGGTTCCCTGTTGCAAAAAGGGAACATTTCATTACTAGATGTAAAATCCACATATGTTTAGCTTCACCAGCGGAGTTAGTTCGCCGAGAGGTGGGGCGGCTGCTCCTCTTCCCTCAATTCTATTTAACAATATTTTCTAATAAGAGCTACTCCCTGAAAATCTTCTCTCTGAAAAATATTCTACTAATTTTGTCAGACGTCTAGTTGAATCTTAGAGTGGTATTTCAGAAATTGGTGCTTGTCGGTGGGCCAAACGATGGAGCTATTACACCATGGCATTCGACTCAGTTCGGATATTTCAAGGAGGGGTCCCTTAATGAAGTTGAGACTATGAGGGAAACCAAGATGTTCACTGAAGACTCTTTTGGACTGCGAACCCTGGACGAGAAGGGAGCCATAGTCATGTGTAGTGCTTACACGAACCATACTATGGTCGTCGAGGACAGTGATACATACGAGAGATGCATCAAGCCATACATTGGAGTGGGTTTTTATTAATTTTTTCCAGCTGGTATGGGTGCGTGTTCAATTTTTTGTGGTATAAGGAAACTAATTGGAAAAAAATATATATGTATTCTCAATTTAAGCCTTAAATTCAAATAAAAAGAATCCTTAGAAAAGTAACTGAAGAGCATTACCATAAAATCGCGGTGCTCTGAAATTTGTTATCTTTTTCTTAATTTCTTTCGTGTTTTTGCTTTTGTGCAAATGTCTGGTAGAAAACTTCAATCATTTTAAATCATCCCAAGGTGTGAAAATTTTGATGTTTCTCCGACATACGCTGAAATGTTTTTTTTTCACGTTTTAGACGCCAATTGACAAACGACGGACGAAAGTTATTTACACCATTGTGCACCATTTCCAATGATTGCCCCTTATAATTTTTAAAAATCCAAGAACTAAGATTGAATCACATGTAACTTAATTTCATATATATTGGCCCGTAATTGCATGTAATCGATATTTGATAAGTATAACCAATATTTATTACGAAACTTTATATTCTGAAAACGTAAATTTAATAAACGTTTTCAATCAAAACGCTTTGGCTTAGATCCATAACATTGATTCACAAAACTAAAATTTTTTATTAAAGACCAATGAATGAAGCAAAAGCGCTGATTAAAGTCATATGACTTTGTTGCCTTTTTTTTCAGGAAAAATTATAGAACTTGCTCCTGTTCGAATTGTTTTTACGCAGTTATAATTAATAACAAGTTACGCAAAAATCCATATAACGCAAGAAAATCCTGGTTATCAAAGTTTTTGGACTTTTCAGTTGAATAAACATAACATAATGACTCAGTTTATACAAAAAATCATCAGTTCAAATTCGATTCAAATTTTTTAGTGTTGCGATAAATGTGAAAAAATTTGCCAATGAGACTAGACTATCTTAAAACTTTCTGAATACTTTCTTAGGTGTTGAAAAACAAAGTTGTTTTCATTTATATAGGTAGTTAATAAAAGTGTGCAAATACCACAGGTAATCTAAACTAACTAAATTAAGTTAAAAGATTAAAATAAGGTATTGAATTAGAACTGACCGATGTCTTAAAAGAACAACTAGTGGCGCCAAGTCCACTGGACGTCAAACGGCAAACGTTGACCGGTACGTAATTATCACATAGAGGTCAAGGTCAAAACATAATGAAAGTACATAATCACAACATTCCCCACTGCACGAAAAAATTTTATCTGAACTTTCCCTGGGTAGATAATATCACACATATACTTCATTCTACCCTCACTCCACGAGGGCCAAAGTTGAAAAAAAAGTATCAGCGTTTAGCACCAATGGAATTTACAGAGATAAGACAAATTAACATGGAGATGACTATGAGATAAAATTTACAGGCTACCTACAAAATGATACAGATATATACAGCGACTAGACAATTGTGGAATTGTTATGTTCAATAAGGGTTATATGACATATAAACAAATCGAACTAGCTAAACTAAATAGGTAACTAAGGTAAAATGTGTTCGTCTCAGAACAAATGTACAAAATCGCTAAAACTAATAATTGGTAAATAAAATGAAATGAATAACCAATAGTAAAATTCTCTTAGAATTCACTTAAATAAGAGAAGTTTAGTTTTTTAAGAAGTAACATTAAATGTGTCATGACAACTGTTGGCGTCCTTTCTCACTTCCGTTTCTATGATCGATGATATGTCGCTCCCCTCGTCATCTTGGATATCCAGTACGCCTTCTACTAATGGTGACCATAGGACTGCAATCATCGGTATTATAGAGGAACGGGTTGAGGTTGATCCTTGTGTTGTTTCGGCCACCAGCGTTGGTTGGGGTAATAAGTCTTCTAGTGGTGTCAAGTAGGCCGATGGGGACTCTAATGAATATGCTGTTTGATGACTTTTTGATGCTGAGAAGGTTATGAGGGGTTCTCCGAATCAAGTATTTCCGTGGTTGCCGCTCCTGATGACACCTGTATTATAAATCGCCTGTCTCCGTAAAATTTTTGGGGGCCTGGATTTTTTCTAGGACGTGGCTCGCTGCCCTTCGGGACTTCTACTGATGGATTCTCTGTGGTTTTCTCTGGTGAGCTCTCAATCCTTATGGGGTTATTGCTTGTGCCCGCCGATGATGCGTTGATAGTCTGTGAAGCAGTTTCGTTTGCGAGTGATCGTCCTGACTGATTGAAGCACTATCACTACTAAAAGTTTGAGAGTTATGTAGAATCTCCGAGTCGCTTCCCAAATAATCCTCTAAAACCTTATCCTAATGGTCTAAGTCTAACGAAGAATCTAGGTCCGAATAAGCGGATTTTGAGCCTTCAAAGCTTGGTACTTTTGTTCTCCTGCTTTTTGTGGCCTAAGCTCCCGTTGATACGTAAGATGTTGATGAACCAGTTTCGTTCGTGTCTCTTGTTTTTCCCTCTTGTCTGCTACTGAGTTTTCCAAATAGCCGATCTCTATATTGTCATTTGTTCCCCAGTCCTGTGCTCTATCTCTTGACATTATTGACTTCCCTTAACCTAAATTAATGGCGTGTGAAACCAGTGATTTCCAGAATGTATTAGGCGGTCTATTAAAATGTTTAGAAAAAGATGAGCATCCAATGGATGATTGTTTCGTTGAACGAATATTCCAAATGATTTTATCAATTGCCACGTTTAATGTTGGTTTGGGTTCGTTAAACGACATTGCCATAAAATTTGCTTTAATTGTGTAGATGAGGCGTTCTACGACTCCATTTGATCTATGATCTCCGACTGTACATAAAATTAGGTTAATCATGTTCTTCTCACAAAAGTTTCTAAAATCGTTCGAAATAAAGCATGACCCGTGGTCGGCTCTGATAGACTTTGGGTATACATGTAGATGACAGTAATCGACATAAAAGATAATAATGAATAAGCTTAAGTGTCATTCGCCACTTTGGCTGACGTGAACTTAGAGGAACGGTCTATACATAACAACAGATATTTTGAATTACCCCGGTTTTTGTCCAATGGACCCGCGAAGTCTAGGTCTAATTCTTCATCTGATAGGTTCTGATAGAATCGGCAATTTCTCGGTACTCTTTGTGCCCAAAATTACTTTAAGATTCATACCCGCCTCTATACACTGGATGCAGTTGTTCCCGTGGTAGTAAATTTCTCTATACAAGTGTGGCCACCAATTTGTTTCCGATAGAGATTTCATTCCAAACTGTCTTTGGTGTGTTTCGTGAAGTAGCGACATGAATGGCGATCTTCGAGCTGCTGGCACTATTAACTTGTTATCGTTAAATAACAATCCTTCCTTTACGTGGATGTCCCGTTGGAAGGTCTTCAGGTAAGCCCCAAATGTGTACAACGGTCTGCCATCTTCCATTGCCTTCTTCACGTCCTTCAGCATTTTGTCCTCGTCTGTCATTAATTTAGTTAGATTGTTCGAGCAATGTTCTGTAAAAGCTAATGGAGTGGTTCGTAACTTTAGATCTCCCTTGTATGTGGCGAGTACTTTTTTTTATGTAATTCAGTCATAGTGTCGTTATCGAAAAATAGAATAATTCTTTTTTTATCTGCCCGAAGGGAATTTTTTGAGGTTTTTACGGACGAATGGAAATCTCAAATTGTATTTTTGTCTTCTTGGTTTAAGAACGAGTCAATTGATAACCAGGAACGTGATAAAAAGAAAAAATAATTTTTGTCGGAAAGAAGAAGATGATAAAAGTTAAATTTTGAAAGGCTTAATGGAATACAACCACTTGTGCAAGACTCTGAACGCGAGTGATTAAAATTACAAATTCGTATTGTGTCCGTGACGTAACTAAGAACATTCGCGAAGAACGATCGTTGAATGTGTAAAGGTAATTCTTTCTTTCCGCCCATTGGATAATTTTAATCCAAGTTAGAAACACTATTTACATCCAATGGATTATACAATTCGATCTTTATGCAATTTTTTTTGTCGAGTATTTCAATTCATGACTATTTAAAAAGCGGGAGGCAATTGCTATCGTTAACCAATTTTTTCCGTCCCATTGTTCTAATGTGGCTCCCAAACCACTGTGTGAAGCATCTGTTTTTAGTCTTGATGTCCTTTTTATATCGAAGTGGTTGTTCTCTTTATTATTTACGATCTGCCTCTTTAGTTCTTCGAAAGCTTTCGTGTGATTATTGTTCCCATGGTAAACAGATTTTTTTTACTAACAGTGGGCGTAATGGAGAACTTAGAGTTTAAAGATTCGGGACAAACTTCATATATTGGTTTATCGAGCCAGAGAATGACCTTAATTCGGAGTTGTTTTTTAGACTTGAGTTATTTTTTTTAGTTAGTTTTTATTAATTTTGAGTTATTTATCGAATCCAATTTTCCTACCAATGGCTTCACCCCCGAGTGTGATATCTTGAATGCTAGCCATTCTATGTCTTTTTGAAAGTACGCACACTTCTTCCATTTGACTGTCATGTTTATACTATCCAAAATGTCAATAATCTTCAAAAGTATCGCTTTGTGTTCGTTCAAGGATTCTTTTGAGGCTATTAAAATATCGTCAGTGTAATATTGGTAAACGGAATATCTTTTACTAGCGAATCCATCACCCTTTGGAACTCATTTGGCATATCGCTCAGCCCGTAAATTCCCGTCGTTATGTCCCGATAGTTTCACCACCAACGATATTGAAGTTACATTGTTTGCTCGTGTCAGTGCATAATTGTAATTGACTGTATGCATTTTTTAGATCTAAGTTGCTGAACCAAATTTCCCCTGAGTTTTTGTTTGAAAGTTGAAAGGCTATCTTGACGATGAGCTCGTGTATGTTTGGCATTTGATATTTGTTCTTGAATATCTGGTCATTTAGGAGTTTTGAGTCAAGGGCTAACTTGATACTACCGTCCTCTTTTTTTGTAATCACTATTGGACTAATAAAGCAATCTTCATCACATTTGCTTAGTTTCACAAAATTTCCCTCTTTTCCCCTCTGTTTAATTTCATTTTTACGCTTTCTAGTACTTGAAGGGGAACTCTTCTGCCTTTAGTTTGA